GGCATCCCGTGGCCATCTCCGTACTGTACGGCACGCGCCCACATTTAATGCCGTACACAGCCCGAGGCCATGGGGCCGTGGGTGCTGTTCCCGAGACGGAGGATGTAGCCCTTGCCGCCGCCGCGACGATGCGGGCCGGAGCCCGCAATGGCGGCGGCGGCGGCGGTGGGGCCGCCGCCGCGGTCTCCGGTGCAGGTTTCGGAGCCATCGTCCAACCGGAGGCGGAGCCGGCGTCGGTACCTCGATCGGCAGCGGCTCGCGGCGGCCGGACGCCGGCGGCGGCAGCGGGAGCGCAGCCGCCGGCCTCGTCGCCGCTGCCTGCGACGCCCCTGTCAGCAGTACGGCGCATTTCCTCCGGGTACGGAGGAACCTGGGGCCTCCAGAGCGGAAGGCTTGCGTGTGTTGACACGTGCGCCGCAAGGAATTCATTTGTCGGAAAGAAACCATTCATAAAATGTTCTCTGAATAGGTGGTTTTGCGTGGTGAGGGAGAGATAGACAGACTGAAGTTGCGGCGATAGCGGAGAAGGCGGGGGGGCACGTGTGTGCGTGTGTGTATTGTGTGGGGGAGAGGGGAGAGAGAGAGGGGGGAGAGAGAGAGGGGGAGGGAGATAAGGGTATTTATAAGGAATTCAGGGTTGCTCCCCCTTATACTCTCTCTCTCCCTCACCCTCTCTCCCTCACCCTCTCTCCCCGGCGTCGGTCGGCTAGCCGGACTAGGATAGTCGGGTCGGTCGGGTCGGTCGCGCGTTTTTGGGGGGTTTGGGAGGAGCACTTGCATACCGACAGCTTTTCATTACCAGCAAATCAGCTACTTCTCCAGGCCAGCAGCAAACTTTATTCCAGCTTTACGACAGCAGTGCTTTACTACTTCTCCGCCGCCTCTACACCTACTTTTCTACACCTACTTCTTTACGGCTTGGCATTACTGCTTTCTCTGCTTTTTTGTCCTGGCGGCTTAGGTAGGTAGTTTTTGCGACATCAGATTCACTACGTCATCCCGAGGTCGCCGTCTTCACGGACGCCTTTCGGTCAGTTCTACGTCTGGTACACTCTTGCCCTGGCAGCAGCTTCACTCGTTTGTTGTTCGCCTTTCCCCTCTCTCCCCCCTCATCCTCTTTCCCTCCTCTTTCTCTCCCGCCCTCTGTGTGTGCCCAACTGGGGCCCCCTGGTCGTTCGTGGTTCGTCTTTCCCCCCTGGCCCCCTTCGTCTTCGCCTTCTTCGTGTACCTTTAGCTCACACAGCTCTGGAAAAAATATCCTTTCCCGAATGAATGATCCGTACATGTTTTTTTCCGCCGTACACTTCCCCGCCTGATCCTCACAGCGCGGGCTTTGATTCAACCATGGTAGACAAGGAAGACTATTACGGCACTGTTGTCGTACATAATGAGTACGATGCGGCCGCTGTACACTCCGACGGCGGCGCCGGTGGGAATGGTCTGGCAGTCGCGTTGGCGGCGTATCGTACACCGGCAACACCGGCGGGGGGGCCGGCGGGGGCGGCAGAGTACGGCTCGGCCATGGTAGTTGGTGGTACGATGATTGAGCGCTCCGGAACCGTACGGCGATCGAATGAGATGGCGGACGCGTCTGGCGACGGGGCCGACGGTTGCGGCGGCGGCGGCGGCGGCTACCTGGCGGCAGTCCGAGCTGCGGCAGCGGAAGCGCAAAACGGCGACCGCCACGCCAAGCCATTGGATAGCCCTTTGGTGGGTGATGTATGGCATCAGTTATGTGTCTGTCTGTCTATCTGTCTATCTATCTATCTATCTGTCTATCTATCTGTCTGTCTGTGTGTAGGTGTGAAGGTGTTTTCTTAAGGGAATCTTAAGAGATCTGCTCTGAGCCGCTGTGCCTGGGGAACATGGGGCGCGAGGTTGCAGACCGAGGTACTGACTTGACTTCTGTGGATGTAAATTTATACAATATGTCAAGAGAGGAAGAATCATAACGACGCCGTGATGGTTAACATCGGCAGGCGAAGCATGGGCGTTGTTTAGCTCTAGGGCGCGGCCGGCCCCTGCTTCCCACAGGACCCGCACACATCCGCACAGATACCATCGTGCGCTCATTAACATATGCATGCTAGAGTCACGAGATCGCACGCGACCCGCGGCGTGTTTAGTCAAAAACAAAAAACACAATCCTGAACTGACGGCGATTCGATCCCCGGACCTTTCAATCCCGGACCGTCATACTCCAGGGGTCCCGGCCGGCGGCTGCCCACCATCTGGACGAAGTGGAGCGAGTACGGGAGCGCCTTCATTCCCTGTACGACGGAGGCCTTGTCGTACCGCTACCTTTTTTCAAGGCGTCCCAAGCTCAGCCGCTCGCGCTGCTGTGCCCTTCTGAGCCATTCGCCGGATCGTGCTCTCACGCCGTACAAGGGCCGCTGCTACCGCCTCCGCTGCCACCGCCGCTGGCGGGGTCATCACGGCAGGAGGGGGCGGCGGCGGCGGTAGCAGCGGCCGGGGCGCCGTACAGAAGAGTGCAACATGGTGGTGGTGGTGGCGGCGGCGGCGCATTGACTCGTAGCGGCGGCGGCGTCGCGGCGGTGCCGCCGCCACCGGCATCGGCGGCGGCGGCGGCGGCGGCGGGTGGGACGTCGTGGGTCGGGGCTTTGCAGAAGACGTCCCAGCCGTCTTTGCCGCCGCTACCGCCTCTGCAGCAACAGCAGCAGCAATTGTCGTCATCACCGCAGCAGCAGAGCCAACCGCACGTGTTGCAGTCTAATGCGGGTAAGTGGCTCGGGGGGGGGACCCGGGGCGGGGGGGGGGTGCCACCTAGGGACTGTCGAACAGGCCAAGCCTAGTCTAAACAATAACCGGCTGCTCGGTGTTGCATCCTTTTTGGAATGGAGCGTTTGGGGAGGGTTTCGGAAGTACGAACATGTCAAACATGTAACTGTAAACCAACCGACTAATTAGTTCATGTGTATGTCTTTGTATTTTTCCTATCTGTGGCAGTGTTAAAACTTGCAGTTGATATTGTAACATACTCGCGCGTATGTATGTCTTCTTCTGACCTTCCCCAACTTTCGGGTCACGTTTGGGGTATTGCGTATGTCGTATTCCGTGGTTCCCAGTCCTGGTCGTAAGGCCCCTCGGTCACTCAGTCACGGACGCTTCCCGCGTCGATTTCCCGCAGCACCCCCGGCATCACTCGACTTGCACGGCGTGGATCCGGAGGCGTACGGTGTGGTTCTGGAGCTTGTACAGCAGAGCGCCGCTATGGCGCGACAGCGGGGCGAGGTGGTTTCGGAGCCAGGAAGTGCTGCGGTCGATCCGCTGCCGCCCACCGTAGTGACACAGTAGGTACAGGGTAGGGAGGCTGGGGAAGGAGTGATGTTAGGGAAAAAAAGTGTGGGGATGTTATTACACAGTAATGAACGAGTGCTGCCGCCTCTATCCCGATAGAGGTCCGGGATTAGAATCAACAGTCGACGAATCAACAATTTAATACATAATAATCAACAAACACTAAGGCTCGTTGTATTTATTTTCTACAGTGGTTGGTCCGTCAACCAACCAACCAAACAAACAAACAAACAAAACCAACCGTAACCGACCAAGACCAAACTGTTAATCTACCACAGACACCAGCCCAGTGCCCAGATCGGCGCAAAATTAGCAGAATCCGACAAAAAATTCCCAATCGATTTGTCGATTGTAAAGTTAAATGTTTTACCAAGTATAAGTAAAGAAAACTTCATTTTCGCTCCTCCCACCATCACCACTATTAAGTTCCTCCACCACGCAGCACCGACATCCCCCCCTCGATCCCTGCTCACCGCACCGCATCTCACCGACCCTGCGGTTTCCCCACAGGCTGTTATTCCACCCCGCTCTTCAGAACCTGGCTCGCACGCTCACCTACAACCGGCGCTGCCTGGCCTCCTTGCCGCTGGACCGGAGGGCGCAGGAGGAACTGCAGGAGAGTTGCAACCAACTCAGCGCGGCGCTGCAGTGCGTGCTGAGCCTATAGGAGGATGGATGGTGGCGGAGGTGTAGTAGTAGTGGTAGTAGTAGGGGGGTGTAGGGGGAGGAGGGTGTAGGAGGAGGGTGTAGGAGGAGGAAGGTGTAGGAGGAGGAGGGTGTAGGATGCCCTACATGTTACACTACACATGCCAAGAGGAAGGAGGACGGGGCGGCTAGCGGATTGCTTGGAGAAGTACTGCGTTGTGTGGGTGGGTAGTCGTGCGCTGTTTTGTAACGGCGGGAAAGGCGCGCTTTCATATACCACATATGATGGTGAACTTTATGATTACCCGTCGCATAGCACACGGAAGCTCCAAATGCTCAACTCATGCTCATAATGTTGATGACTGAACAAGTTCAGAATGGATTGTGAAGAGCATTGTGAAGCTGCCACACTTTGTCGTTTCCACAGGTGTCTTATTATCGAATCTTGGATGTCCCGGCTTGTAAAATAAATTGACAATTGCGTTAGATAAAAGGCAGCAAGGTTAGACCAGCAATTTGTTGATACAGTTTTGTGAGGCGAGGCTTGGTTTCCTGGCATACTTATAGCATATTCCGCAGGTGCATGATCGAGCCCATTAGATTTGTTGTTGTTGCAGAGAGACTGCGGACGAGGGGGGATGATGATGATGACCTCCCGCGTACCCGCATCAATACCAATACAACGTCCATGGCCCCCCCGGCTTTAATGGACACACCTGCACTTGTGTGCGGAACTTGTAACTTGTAACTTAGCCGCAGGTACCACCTCCTCCAGGGTGAATGGTGAGTTCAGCCTCTCACATGCCATTACCCCCTTTGGACGCCAGTCTGGGCTGATGTGCGGTGTTTTCCTTTCCTCCGTGGCTTTTAGGCGTTGTAGTATTGCCCTTGGGCCTTCGGCTCGTATGGGTAGTCTTACAGGCATGGGGTCACGCACCCCAACCATGTAACACACACACATATGCCATTAGTAAAGCTCATGACAGCCCCTGCATCCATCCTCACGCCTAGGAACAGTCGTGACATCGTTAAACAAGTCCCTGAAGTACCTGCTCCAAAATAACATCCGCCACGGGACACTCCTCCTAAGTAGATGACTTAACTAACTGCCAAAAAGCCCCTGGGGGGTTACTAATGCAGTTTCACAAGAGGTCCTCGAGAAATGTGCCATCCGATAGGCCTCTCGCGCTTCTCTGAGCAACCGGACTGATATATGTCGTCCGCAAACGATTAAGCTCCGACGTTGCCGTCTGGTTATTGAGCAAACCTTAAGATCACGATTGTCGTACATGGTAGTACACATAATCTCGGGGGATCAACCCAACAAATTTCGGCGGATTAATTTAAAACGTGTAGATGAGATTTATTGAGATTTCCACACCAAAGCCAAACTCGCTAGACCCCACACGCCCATGCGGGCAGAGGGCATCTGCACAAGCGTCAGCCACACGGCTTGCAAGTTCGTGTTGTTGTGTTGCTAGTACATGGAGACCCCCGTAGCTCATGGTAAGGTGACGAATGGCCTAGATAGGCTACCTAGAGCTATGATTGCATTTGCATTTGGGACAGAAATGATTGAGCTCATTCCCTTGTGAACAAAAGAGGCTTATTGTTGTTGTTGTTACAGAGTGGGAGGCTTTGGGCCATTTGCACACGTTTCCACTTGGATTAGAGTTGTCATGTGTAGGATTGAACACCATAATACGGCACCATCCACCATTACCACACTCTACTATGCCATACGAACTGCAAGTCCAAGGCGGTTTAGTTCCTCTGCCTTCTAGAATACCTCCGCATCCTTTCACCTGAACATCTATATATGGACAGCTGTCCTCTGCAGAGGATTCAGCTCAGTGTTTTTGTTTTCACTTTTGCCCGTCAATTTTCCTGTCCGAACGGAGGATTAGGTTTTTAGTCGAGGGAAAATAATTATTCCGAATCTCTAAGGCGCGGGGGGGGCTCCCGGGCCCCCCTGACAACCCCCCGACGAGTTACAGTTTAGCTCGTACAAAATGCCGGGTTTGGGGAGGGGTTTGGTCGCAAACACAGACCAGTTAACCCCGACTCAAGCACTGTCAAATAGAGTTCGTTTGCCGTCGTAGTCCGTCGCTCATTTTGCATCACGTTGAAAGATAACACTACACGACTCTCCAGGTTGCAAAAGTCATGATGCATAGCAGCAATGGACCGGAACCGCCAAACGCAACCTCTGCGGTTGGTTGCAGCCCCCGCTGGTGATGCTGCACGCTAGTTAGCGGTTCATCCTGATTTACTGCAAACGTAATATGGGCGACATTTCGTAGTTGTGTGTGCAGGATGCAGTCTTGTCTAATGTGCCAGGAACACATTCCCAAACACCAATACGCCCTTGGTAAAGCGGCATGGACAAAGGGAGGAAATGCTGGCTTGTGTGTCGTGGCGTTTCGTTGATTTCCCAGTGTACATGTACCGGGCCCTACTGCTGGCGGCCATCCACTGTCTGCGGTCGGGGCGTCTTTGCGCCGCGGGGTGCGGGGTCAGGAGTCTTAGCTGCAGCGCCGGCGTCGCTGCTGCCATCACCCTCGGCGCCCGAGTTTCCTGGCCCATCGCGATTGTCTCCATATGACGAACATTGATGTACGATTGGCCCGCTCGCTGTTGACAACCGGAGTGGCGTCATTGTCGTCGGCTGGCTGCAGCGTTGCGTTCACATTGCCTACGACCTCTACGCCGTCTTCATCACCGTCGCTAATGGCTTCAGTGGAGTTAGATTTCTGTTTTGGTGGCCTGCCACGCTTTGGGAGCTTCGGGTTTTGCATTTTTAAGGGACGCAGCATGCGCACCATCATGACTGAGGCGCCACCCTGGCATTGGCCAGGTACCTCTCGGAAATCTGGGAGGCCAGGCACGTCGCGCTGAGGCGCTTCGCCCTGAAGCGGACGAGGGACGATGATGATCAATACCATATAATGTCCATGGGCCCCCCAAATGGCTTTTACGGACACCCCCGCACTTGTGTGCGTGCGGAACTTGTAACTTGAAACTTTTGCAGCATTTGGTCCGGTCAGAAACTGTCTCCTATTCCTCGTTCACTTGCGAGTGTGACCTTCCTAACAGTACCCATGGCATTGAAGTGCTATGAAATGGTTAACATGTATGTCGCCTGTAAAACATGCTTATCATCCTTTTCGCATGAACTGACTCGAATCTTGGATCAATGCTGAAGGGAGAAACACATGTTTTTATTACTTCAAATCGTCCAAAAAACCGCAAAACCCCATAAAACCTTCATGCCATTTTTGAGTTTTAGGTTTTCATTCGCAGAGCGTCCATCCATGTTGCTAATACCATTTGCAATGTGGCAGTCAGTCCCAGCCGCAGCTGCTGTGCGTGCATCCGTTCGGGCAGCTAGACACCCCTCTGCCCATTCACATCTTTCAAAAGTACAACGAATCTTTAATGCACCGCCCATAACGAGTATCCATGGATAACGTATTTTTTTCAAAAGGATGCTTATCATGCTTTTGAATGAATTGGGGTACGGGTCAGATCAGGCCGGAGTATCTTCAGGGGGAAAGCAGGAGGACTGGGTTATAGCGCAAAGCAAAGGATCTGATAACAATAACCATACTTTCCGTTCCATTAACCTGCAACGTGCCATGAACCTGCAACAGCAGGTAAGATCAACAGTGACATAAGCAACAGTGACAACAACAACGTAGAGCCGCGCGCCCGGCCCTGCGCTGTGTTTCGGCCCCCCCACAGTGTAACACCCAAACATCCCAACAACAACATCATCAACAACAACAGCACCAGCGATAACACCAGCAATTCCAACCGACCAGCAGTAGGAGAAGCCCGACCTCCTGGATGTGCCGGCATTTCCGAAATGCATAACAAAGTACGATAATCAGCGTCCCGTCCAGTTCCTAGTTCCTCACAAAATCGTAGGAAGCACAACGAGGTAAGGCTGTCAGGATCATCTGGTTTGATCAACAAACCTGTAGCGGCTACTGCGCCCCACTTTTGACAGGCTGGAGGTGTACTCTCGCGCTCCGTAGATATGTAATATATGTGCCGTTTTGTACAACAGCTACTGTACGACAGGTTTGACCTTTTCGCTTCGTCGTGCCGGCCCTGTCTTAAAATCGGATTATTTTTTCATGCACTGAAATAATTCCACAGGTGTTGCTATTCCTTTTAATGCCACTTTTCCCAAGCTGATGGCCACAAGTCCCCCGATTGAATCCCCTTCGCCGCAGACTGATAAATCCACTCCTGTGTACTCCGAGGATATCGTCATCGTTCTGGTACCCTCGCTACCGCCGTCGCTGCTCCTAAGGAATGTACCTCGAACATTTACGCCCGCGTCGGTTGCCTGCATAAGGCATCCACGCCAGCAAGCGTCCGTACATACCACCTGGCCTGCCGCCGCCTTGCCGGCGACGCGGGAGGCCCTGTTCATGACCTTGCCTCTATAGGCAAGTCGACCTGAAGCCTCATTGAGACTGTGGGTGGTTAGACCCGTGTCAAGTCCCACCTGGGGGTGAGAGGGGGGGAGCGGGAGCGTAGGAGTATTATTGAGGCGCCGCGAGTTCGAGAGAGAACATGCCGTACAATCCGTATCTTAACTCCAATAATGCACGGAGATGCACGCTATTTCTCCATCCCGCATGGCGGCCGCGAATGACCGTGTGAATACACGTCCTGTGAAAATACGCTTCCCCCCGCCTTCCCTGCGGATTTCCTCCGTCTGCCCTTCACTAGCGCTATAGCGCCGCCTCGTACTGAGATTGACATAACACTAGAAAAATAAACCCATTGGGCGTCCAGCTCCCCCTGCCCCCTGTCCTCTCCGCACCTTGATACGGAGCCCACGCTCCAACACCCGTCGCGTCGTCGTGATTGCTCCGAGACGAGCCGTGCTTGGCATGTTGGACAGGTTGCGTCGAAGGCTGCACCGTCGGGCCACCGCCGGCGGCGAACCGGCCCTGGCGCCTTCACCCCCGTCGGGAAGGTCCACCGGCTCCCAGGGGACCCTCTCATTGTCCTTCCCTTTGTCAGCGGTCGGCAATGTGTCGGTTCCCGCTACCCCAACTGACAACACTTCCTCACACAGCCAATGGCCGAGTAGCTCCGGATCCCAGGTCTAGGGCAAAATGTGCAGTTTCCAGGCAGTTAGGGTTTTAGGGTTTTAGGGTTTTAGTCTGTAAAGTTGGGTTTCATTTCGCTTAAGCTTAAGCGGTTTTAGAGTGCTAGGATTTGGATTCTTTTCAAGAGAGGGGGGCGTTAACAAGCAGTCAACAAGCAGAACCTAGTTGCAATCGGGGGCTGCGGCAGGAGGAGCACACGGAGCGTCCTATGACAAGAATAAAAGGTCTTAACACGCCTTATGGTGGATAGAGTGACGAGGGTAGTAGTCTGGGGTAAGGGCAAAAGAGGACGATGCGGAGGACGTGGCTGGCCATCTCCCACGTATGATACAAACCCACGCTGCCACCCACAAGATTTTTGAGCCCCGCCGCACAGTCGAGCGCCCACTCCACTGCGGCCATGGGAGACTCAAACGCCGCCAGCACCAACCCGTCCTCCCCTTCCACAAGGTAGCCTCCCTTTGAACCTAACAGACGAAAAACAAGGCGCTGAAACTGGGAGAGGGCGCGCCTGGCGGGGCCAGGGATCTCGGACAGCAACGTGGAGGCGCCCACCACGTACTGCGTGTCATGTGTTTTTGGGAGGCGTGACGTGCGGTTTTGGGGCGTGTTAGGCATGTGTGTTTCGATGGTGATAAGAGTCAAGAGGGGATTTTGGCACGGTGGCCCAGAAGTGAGGGAGGGGTCCTTGGTGTTTTGAAACTTAAGAATTCTAGGGGGGGAAGGGTGTCGCGTAAGTCTTTTCTTTTTGAAGCCTTACCCGAGTCCACACTTGGAAATCGCCGAGGTCTGCTTGGGATTTAAAGCAGCCTTGGGATTGGGTGGGACAAATGCAAGCACCGTACGAACGTGTCGTCCAAAAAGGTTTTGGCTAATCGCTATTATTAGGTAAAAGTTCTCCGTTAAGGGAGGAACTTAAGTAGCCCATATCATCACCCGACGTCATCCATACAAGATAACAGAGAAGACGTGGAGATAACGATAACTTTGTTCAGTTATCCTCAATCTGCAGTACACAACAGCAGCTGTTAGCATGCCACCGTGTCGTACAATTCATTAGCATATTTCCCACACCGTCGTACCATAAAGGCGATGCTAATGCAGCCCACAGCCGCATTCAGACTGCCGAGCTGAAGGACGCGCTTCGTCACCAGCGGCGCCGACAGCGCCAGCCTGCAGGACAGTGCCGACGGCACCGCCTGATACAGCGCCGTACCCTCTGTCGTACTCTCGGCCTCCGCCGACCCCTCTTCGCCTCGTAACGTCTCGCCAATACCCATAATGCTGAATCTCACAACCGAACTCAATCTTCTGGCGGTGGCGGCGACAGGCTTCGACGGCGGTCCCGGCGTTGGCGGCGAGCTCTTCAACACGTGGTGTCCGCCGTACAGTACGAGCGCTTCGGTCTGGCGGCCGGCGCGGCGCTTATTGGCGCTGTGCTGGGGGGCCCCGTTGCCGCCCCCTCCCACGCCCCCTCTAGGTGTATTGGCGCTGTGGCGCAGCCGTGCAAATGCCTGGCTGGACAGCACCACCATGCCGCCCGGCGCTGCATCGATGATGCAACGAGCGGTCTCCAGGAAGGGACCTGCAGGGCGGTTGACAGTTGGCGCGTTTTAAGGGCGCATTGCTGCTACTACAGCTGCTACTACAGCTATACTCCTAAAGGGCTGCATTGCCTATACAGGCCACTGCACCAGGTGCTCATGCGCTTCAGATCATTAGGGTGTTGGGAACTGCACGTCAACTCACAGGCCCCTAATGGCCGCGAGCGGCTTGGTGACTGCGGAGTGGTCGAGGACCGAGCTGTGTATCTCTTAAGGATGTCCACCGGCCTAGGGGGGCCATCGAGTCATGAATAAGGGAGGGGTCATTGGCTTCCGAGGGAGGGCGTCAAATGCGTACTATTACGGCGGATGCCCTCCCTAGAGCTGTGCGTCCACATTTCTCTCGGAGGTCTGGGAGACCAACAGGTACATCGCGCTATGTGGGCTCACCGCAACTCAGTTATCCCCTTTTATGCGCTAATTTTTCTCTTCTCCTGATAGTGCGGTATTTCCCTTTTCGTGACTTTTAGGTGTTCAGCTACAGGTACTTGGGGTCACGCACCCCCAACTAAGTAAACATATGACACACACACACACACACACACACACACACACACACACACACACACACACACACACACATCGCGCTCAGGCAGGTGCGCCGAGCCCAACGCCCTCACTCGGGGCGCCACAATAATGATGATCATAATAATAACGGCTATGGACTGGTCCAAGGGGCCCCTCCCTCGACCGGTGTGATGTATTGGTGAACGGGCCAGTTCAGAGAGGCGGCTGCGCACGCTGTGTGAAAGTATTGCGGTCGAGACGTGCACGCGGTCGAGACACATCCCCAGAGCCGTGAACTTGCCTTGGTATTTGAAGGCACTCGCCACTTTGTTGAACACAATGTGCTGCGGGTCCTCTAAGCCGGTGTGCAGGCCCATTCGCACTCGGAGACCACGGTAAGCAGCCAGCACAGGCCGGCCCGAAGGAAGGGCCACCAGCGGACTCTGAAAGGGGTCACGGAGGGGTTGTTGGGAGGAAAAAAAGGAAATAGGCGGTGGAAAAGGGGCAGAGTCTAGGGGGAGGCTAGGGGACACTCTTTCCTTGGCAGCCAAGACTAAAATAAGAGCGGAAGAATAGCAGTAGGACGAAGCCGTAAAGAAGTGAAGGTAGGTGTGGAGGCCGGGAAAAAGTAGGAAAAAATGATGACGTGAGCTGGAATAAAGTTTGCCGCCGGCCTGGCGGCGGCATTGACGAGGTTGGACCAAAGCTGGCTGATAAGCTGGTAATAATAAGCTGGTGACATGCAAGTGCTCCTCCCAAACCACCCCAAACACGCGCAAGACCCGACCGACCCGGAACTATCCTAGTCCGGCCAGCCGACCGACGCAACGCGACACCCCGACAAAGCTCGATCCTCCTCAGACTCACCTGGCCAGGCAGCAGAAGTAGCGGCAAGGGCACATGTGAGGCAGAGAGGTAGCAAGGTTGTGAGCAGGGTGCGATGAGGAAAAGGGGAACGAGGAGGGAAAGGAGGAGGGGAAACACGAGGGGGTCACAAAGGGGGAGGAAAATGAAAAGATTGCGGAGGTACTTGATGTGGGGGTAGGGAAGAGGAAGGGGACGGGAAGACTCGTAAGGAGCTCAGGAAACGGTTCTCCGTTTTCTCTGAACTGAACGAATGCAAAAAGCGAACCGGTAAAGCCAACAAAACGAGGATTGATTTTGGTGAACAAGACGCAATGCCCATACACGCACCCGCAATGCCTGGTCACCCTGGACACATGCAGACACCCCCTGAGTCGGCACGGACGGAAACGCTGCGCACAGTGCTGTAAGCCAGTCGCTACTCGTGCTCGAAGGCAGCCCCCACGTTGCCCGGTCTTCTCGAAGGGTCGGCAGGATCGAAAGTATGCTGGAGAAGCCCGGTGAGTGAAGCCCCACGACGTTGCGTTCCGAAGAAGACACTGTGGGAAATTTGTTGCGGACACCGCCGCCGCCGCCACTGGTGGTTCCAGGCCGTACAACTAAGTCACAGCTGCTATCGAGTATGTGCCCCAAGCTGGCGGCACTGCGCTGGTTGATAATGCGGGCGAGGATGGGGCTGTTGCCTGACGGCGGCGTTTTACGTGGCTCCCCAGAGCTGACGAGCTTAGTAGGAAGCAGGCCCGTGTACGGCACCGCGTTGACGCTGCCGTCACCGCTGAGGGTCCGGTTACCCCTGGCCGAGAAGTCAGGCGTCGATTCTGCTGCCGCGTCGGCGTCGGCAGCGGCGGCTGTAACGGCCGCAGCGCTGTTGTACAGTCCATCTTGGGAGGCAAAATCCACGCATTCGCTCTGTGTGCGGAAGAATACATTGCCTCCGTGTACTGTACCATCTGACACGAAATTAACGATGCTAGATGTTCGAGTGACGGCGTCGTTGATACCCGCCGTCGCCGCCGTCGCCGCCGCTGGCGGCCGCGATCCTGTCCGCAACGTTGGCGACAGCAGCAACGGCGACGGCATGATTTGCGAGATGCGTAGAGCTCCGGTGGCGGCGGCGCGCATGTACGTCGCGATGGTGGACATGAACGGGAAGGCGGCCAAGGAGTTGGTGCGGCTGGCGATGAGGCGGATATCACCGTGGGGCGTCGCTGCGGCCTGTAGCACTGGATCACCGTCCCGTGGGTCCACCAGTACCAGCTGGCCATCTGGGTGCTCCAATAATTGTTGTGGCCACTCCTGTAGCACTAGCTGGACCTGCAGAGTGAAATTAGGTGGCCACTGTATACCATGTAACAGGTATCCAGGAGGGAAACCCTAGCATTTTCAACAGTGGTTACCCTTTCGAATCCCCGTAAGAGCGTTTTCTGTTGTTTCTCACTTCGGACAGCAGTGGCAAACAGTCAGCGACAGGGAGGTGACAACGGGGACCAGCAGCCAGGTTAGTCCCTGTACGTAACTGTACGAACGCGATATAGCCGATGCACACAACAGTAAAAACTGCTTAATTACTCAGCATGTGCCCCGGTTTCGGAGCACGGCCCAGCGGTGTGGCCCTACCTGGCATGCTGCTGCGAAGGCCACCGCATTCGTCGGGTCAGCAAAAGCCAGGATGAAAGAGTCGCCCTCTGCGCGTGTGCATGTGCATGTGCGTGCGCGTGTGCGTGTATGTGGGTAAGTTATTATCCTCGCCAGTCACTGAAGAGTCAGCGATGTATATATGCAGGCTGGCAGGGCTGGCGCGGGAAAGACGTCACCCAGGAGAGGGGCGGGAGGATTAGGGCAGCGGCGGGTAGAACTTCAACTGACACGGCATTGGGCCGAAACCGCTCCTCAAGCCCAAAACCGACAAATATTTATGGCAAAGTTATCAGCTCTTCAGGATTTCAGGATTTTTGGTGACAGTAATAAAATCCGCTCCCAAAAAAACCGTGCTTTGATGTACGGCGCGTTCTGTCCTTAACGCGGGCGAATCCGCCCCGCGGTGCGTTGATGCCGCTGCAACTGCTGTTAGATCTCGCTTGTGCTACTGTTACGGCTGCTGCTACGCTGCTACGCTGCTGCGCTGCTGCTACTGCTGGTACGTTGTTGCTGCTGCTTCAAGCTTGCTGATACGATTGCTCCTGCTCCTATTGCACCGATTGCTCCTGCTCCTAACGCTGCGGAAGCTGCTACATCAGGATCCCGACCACCAGATCCGACTCTCCCTTCACCGCCTTTCCGAAACCCTCCTTTTATATACACTCTGGTCCCGTTTTGTCCTGTACGGCATCGACTCGGGCCTCATCGGTGAGGCCATATCTTCCCCCGTACCGTCCCCCGGTACTCACCTGTGCTGCTCTCGTATCCGTCGTGCTTCGGGAGAAGGCGGCGAAACGTGCTGTGATGCAGCTTGAGCGATATATCCATGACTTCCGCAGGCAGCTGCTCCCATAGCACCGTACTGTTCTGGACATCTGGGGTGCGACATACAAAACGAAACGAAACAAAAGAAAACCAGGCCACAAGGATTAATATAACCCTTATGTGTGTGTGTTACATGGTTGGGGGGTGCGTGACCCCATACCTGTAAGACTACCCATACGAGCCGAAGGCCCAAGGGCAATACTATAACGCCTAAAAGCCACGGAGACCCTTATGTACACAAACCCGCACATACGTGCATTCATTTAACGGCACTCACTTTACATTCTTTTGTGTGCTATGTTTTCTATTAATTAACGAGCATATTAATGATATTACACTCACCATGTTGTAAAACCCGCCCGCATTGAGCTTCGAGTAGTATGAATAATGTGCTGTGCCCACGTGTGCTGCCTCCCGGCTCACGATGCAGCCATTGTTAAGTTGTCCCCTTAACACGTGCCTATATATTCGCTGCTATCGGCCTCTCTTAGCTCACCGCTAATGAGCAGGGTCGTGTCCGGCCCCGCCCTAGGTGCCAACACACGGCCTAGGAAGTCGTGATGTCGGTCCCTTAGCCGCCGCTGCAACCACACCGCCGCAAGGCCCAGCAGCACCACACCTGAGATCGTACTCGCCACGACTGTCGCAAGCATGCTACTGGACAGGGCAGGCTTGCTCGTCGACGTGATGTCTGGTACAGAATAGCAATACAAAATGACACGATTTTTTTGGCATTTTTGTTTTGCTTGGCCTTAGCAGTAGTTTTTTAAAAAGGGTCCAGTCGATGGAAAACCAGGAAGGACAACGGAAAGCAGCTATCACGCAACAATATCAAAAAAAGGAGGAAGGAGAGGAGAAAACGATGGAAGGTAAGGTAAAACCAAGTAAAGCGAGGTAAAGGAGGCACTTTCATCCGTCGCGGGAAGAAAGGGAACGTCGGAATGGTCGAACCAGCTTAGCGCCCAAGTCACAAGTTTTTCACGGCTTGACAACTTTGGACGATGAGGTGCTGCCTGACGATAGGGACGCGTGGCTCGTGGAGCCCCCAGGGTCCTCAGGCCGCTCACAATGAGCATGCGAAATTCTAATAAATACATACAACATAATATACACAGGGCTTAGGGTTTTATATATATTATAATAGTTTTCTATATTTTAATTTTCATTAATTTCATTTAATCAGTTTAAAACATGTAAATCCCCACAACCCCGGGACAAGCGGGAAAATAACTACCCGGTGAACCCTTTTGGGAATTAAGAAAGGTATTTCTTCTTACGTGGTATCTGCTGCCGGTCGGGATAAGGCGCTTGCCAGCGGGCTGCGTTGATGGACATTTCGTAGGTTGTCCGCACGGTGTTGGGGGAATAGGCCTCCGTGGCTAGGATGAACAGACGAGAAAGCACTGCCGCAGCAGCTTCGACGCCAGGCTTCGTTGACTGCAGCTCCAGAGCCGCGTGGCTCAAAGTCCACTTGAACCTGTGGCCCGCAACGCGGGCGTGGATACGACGCAAGCGGGGTTATGCAATGTCGGCGGCTGTCCGGGTTTGGGACCGCGGCCGGAGACAACAGCGGAGGAGCTAGGTGGAGGGGTGGCGGCGGAAGTAACGCAAAGATGGATTGCATTGGGTGGAGACGAAAGAAGGGAAAGGATCATTACTGCAGGTGCGCATTAGATCCCTCATCAAATCCCCCTTCCTGCAAGTGAGTCGGATGAGTCCTTGCGGCACGAGGTTACCGTCTTGTTGTTTGTTTGATAATGGCATTTAAGAAACTCAACCACAGCTCAGGTTATTGGCATCAATACTTCACACATACATACATACACACATACTACATACAACGTACACACAGAAACCGACAAAGAGCACACACATACATGTGCACTCGAAAGCAAAGTAGTTCGATCTTCCCGGTTGGAGTCTATCGCCTTTGTTTCGCCCGTCCCTTCCGATTCTCTTCGCTCAACAAACGGATGTGCGTGCACATGAACACAACCGAACTTGGCGGCCGCTGCAGCGGCCAACCGACAACCGACAACCGATAGGATCCGTCGTGTTTAAACCCTGCCAAACTATCCCCTTTCCATACCAGTTGATAATTGTAGGCGATGGCACGTCCGGCGCCATGTTTGGTGAGTTGACGGCATGCCATAAGGCCTGCAAGTACGACCTGACGGCGGCGACGTCATGGCCCTGTTCGGTGTACAGGTCTATTGCCTCCCGGGGGATGGCGGCGCCGTCGCCGGCAATGCCGGCCCACCAAGGTGTCGCAGGGTACGATGACGTGTTCCAGGAGGAGCTGTTGCCCGGTGTTACGGTGACGTTGCCGCCGCCGCTACCGCCTGACGCCGCCGCCGCCGCCGCCGCCTGACGCATGACATCCAAAGCAGCCTGTCGTTCCTTTCGCTCCGTCTCAATTCGTGAAGATATATGACGCTGTATCAGAGACATTTCTTGAGCCAGGTCAACCACCGCAAAACCTGTACGACATGGTACGGCATAGTACGATACGTTACTGTGCGATATTACATACACAACGGACGGTGAAGGGGGAAAAGGTTTTTACGGCAACATCAACGGTAATACATTGAATGCATGGAATGCATTGACATACTGCATGCAGCATGGCTCGGCGACGCAGCTCGGCGTTCCACGCGACATCGCAATGTACGGCATGCCGTACCGCCACGACTATTTTGCGCGACAATTACACACCATGAGCAAGATATTGATATAATTTACCGTGGTACATGTGCCTTCATTTTACTTACTTCCGTAGTTGATGTAGGTATAGTAGTCGAGAAAAATCGAGTACGGCGCCCTGTTCCGCGACTTCGCCGCCGCCATTTGCGCAGCAGCAGCAGGAGCAGTCGTCGCAGCGGCGGCAGCGGTGGCGGCGGCGGCCACCGCTGCCCCCTCCATCCGCACCGCCTCCGTAACGCCACACTTAGCGCGTGCATCTCTTGCCACCGCCAGTGCCGCCGGCGCCTGGCCGGCTGAGGTCAGATACAGCGCGTCATGATTGCCGCTGACGACGCAAAGATGCGGACTAGAACTGCATGAAACTAAGTTGCCGTTGTAGGATCTGGCGGCAACAGCAGCCGCACTTTCGTTGGTGCTGCCATCTTGGTTTTCAGCATCCATGACCTGGCTACTGCCAGGCAAAGGCGCCACTTTAACCACAGCGGGACGTGGCAGCGGTAGCTTCCCCACCCGGGCCATCCAAAGAAATGCGATGTCCAAATCGATCGTAAAGAGGCAACCACCGGATGCAAACCACGGGCTATATGCGTGACATCGCTTCGCCGCGGTGTCGAAACTCCCGGGGCCCGTACTGTCCGTGGTGTTGTAGTCCGGCGCGTTGTACTGAAGCAGCCGTCGCAGCACCTCCATGCCGTACCTCCAAGCTGTGCCGTTGACAAGCGGCGGCGCCGCCGGCGGCGCCGCGGCAAGGTCAAAGACGTAGCCCTGCATCGTAGAGCTTGTCTGTACGACGCTGGCTGCGATTGCCGCCAGGATATCGCCGAGCCGGCCGCAGTTAGGATCCGTCGTGATACAGAGACCATACTGCGGTAGCGGATTCTTGGGCGGTTTAGTCCCATTGGCGGCGGCGGCGCCGCCACCGCCACCGCCACCGCCACCGCCGCCGCCACCGCTACCACTACCGTGGTCTTCTTGCAGGTCCTGCAGCGCCGTTGCGTGCGCCCTCAGTATGTCTGTCAGCTCGTCCCAATCGTCCGGCGGCGCGACGGAGGTCACATGACCGGATTCGTACAGGGCGTCCAGTACGTCGGCGCGGTAAAAGAGCAGCAGGAAGGCGCGTGGGAACAACGGGCCTTGGGGGTTGGTTTTGTCTATGCAGACATTCTCCGTGAAACTGACGATGCCCTCCTGCTCCACCTGCGACCGACAGACATGAGCCAGCCCCGTCCGACACGTTCAGGTTCGGTTAGCCGTTGGCAGGTGAGGGGCACAAAGAGGGCTGGGTACACCAACCACGGCTACCGGTGAGAGAAACCCACTTAATGTGTGTGCATTGTGTGTGAATTGTGTGTGTCTGTGTGTGTCTGTGTGTGTGTCTGTGTGTGTGTCTGTGTGTGCGCATTGTGTGTGTCTGTGTCTGTGTGTGTGTGTCTGTGTGTCTGTGTGTGTGTGTTTTACACGTTACAGTTTACGTTACTCCCCGAAGATGTAACCTGGAGCCCCTGGAGTGTTTTAAGTCCGCTTTAACCGACTTGCATACTGCGCAACGGTCGGCTAGGGCTCTACGTTAGACCGAAAGGTGTAATTGCGCAATCGATTCATGGGTCATACCATGCGCCACTGCTGCACAGGAGCGACCCATGGGTCAAGCGTTTCCACCTGCCAAATCCCCAAAACACTCCTCCCAACAAGAAACATCAGGCATGTAATGCAGGAGGTCCAGGCACCAGGAAGGGAGGTCGAGTAGCGAGTAGCCGCCGAAAAGGCCCATCGGGACGCCGGAACTGCGCTTTCGCGCGTATATTCGTATTCGTATTGGCGATGTGTACCGTACTGTACGACTGCTGTTACAGGATGTGCCGAGGAGGGAGAGACCCCCGCTCAGGCGCTCAGGCTCACCATCCAACTTGGTGAGAAGCCGGACATGTCTGCGCTGACAACCACCAACTCTTCTTGCGCTGCATTGTAGTCTTGCAGCAAACTGGCGTCCGTCAAGGCAGCTGGCGGGGGGAGCTGTTCCGGATCCATCAGCTCCACGTGTGTGAAGTACGGCGCGGTTTCGCCATCAGTTTTTAGACGGTGCACCCACTCCGTGATGATGCCGTTGTGCCTTCGCACCGCGTGAGGGGAACGGAAGCAGCGCATTGAGGGCGGTCGGGGCGTCAGTGTGCAACCAGATGTAGAGAGGCATACCGACATACAGACGTGTATACGAAAACACACAGGCGGCATCCGGCCTCCGGTGTTTCATCCCATGTGTAACCTGAATCACATAGACATTCATGTGTATGTATGTATGTATGACTTAGATTACACTGTGGGCCGCGAGAGCCGGGGGCCGAAGCCGAAACACAGCGCAAGGGTCGGGAGCACACAGCACAAGTCGGTTAGTCTTGTGTGCTCCCGACCCCGACTCAGACTGCCAACACTCTACGCAGCAACTATGTATGTGTGTATGTGTGTATGTGTATGTATGTGTGTATGTATGTGTGTATGTATGTTTATGTGTATGTGTGTATGTATGTATGTGTGTATGTATGTATGTGTGTATGTGTGTATGTGTGTATGTGTGTATGTGTGTCTGTTTTGCATGGTCTTACCTGAACGTCAGGCGAAGATGCTGGAACGTATGTGGTCCCACCGCAACTCTATCGTTCCCTTTGGTCGTTAGTCTTCTTTATCACTTACTTTGTCTGAAGTGCGAGGTAGGATGGTGCTTATAGGCGATCTGGCAGCCTTTGAGCCCTCGGCTTGCATTGGGCGGTTTACAGGTACGGGGAACGCAACCCCACGCGAGCACCTCCTTCCTGTTCGCTTGCTCAGCAGCCAGATTCATCAAATGCATTGCGCCGTGTGGATTTCCGGTTGCTTGCCGTCTGACGGATACACGTCTGGCTGGACATCTAGACGCGTATGCTTCCAACCGCTCATCGACCTATCCTTGAACTCCAATATCAATGGCCTGTTCATTAGCCATTCCATCGTCGTTCATCTGCCTTATGTAGCCGTTGCAGGGCCTCTTTCCATGCGTCGTGCCCCAGAAAACTCAGCAAACAGAGGACTAGTGAACCCCCATCCGCACCCTTCGGGATTTCATAGACATACATACATCGAACACACAAAGGTGCACTATGACCTCGCGGGCTCGGGGATAACAAAACACGCAAAACATGTTTTACCGGCCAGTCTTCCGCTACAGCTCCTTGTAGCAGTAATCTATCCGTTCACATTCTTCATTCACGCATTAAGACAAACAAACTTGTCCATAGTCATGCCGTCATCCAGCTCGACAGAAAATACAAACAGACGTACAGACGGAAACGCGAACAGATAGGACAACCGCAAGCAACTCCCCCCCGTCCCTCACCGTACAACTCACCAAGATGGGTACTGCATCCACGTGACGAGCTGTGCCGTACATAGCCGTCAATGCCACCGTACGGCATCATGACACAGCACAGCCATCATGCGCGGTGTCGCCGCCGTTAGCAGCAGGAAAATGCAAGCCGCCGCCGCCGCCGCCGCCGTGGTCGCCGCCGCCAGCGCAAATGGTGCAGGTAGCGGGCAACGTGCAGCCAAAGTGAAGCATCGCCAACAAGCGAAATCGCGACCACAATTGCAATGACCAGTTATAATAATACACCACCGTCGCAGCCGCAGCCGCAGCCGCAGGTCAACGATGTGGGGGGCAATGGAACAAAGAGACGGAAGGAGTAACCTGTCGAGAGAGAGGCCATACTTGGTGCATTTGGGAAGGGTGCCTGCGGTACAGCCATCGCGGTAGCCTCTCGCACACCTACTCGCGCACCGAGACGTCCTTCCACTCGACCTTCTTCTCCTCTTTCCCCTTATCCTTCCAAGCTTTCCCCTTATCCTTCCAAAGACGGTTAAATGAACGTGACGCTAAAATGTCGTGACACTCCCTTCTTTGCACTTCGCTGCCATTTGGAAAGGAAGGCGCATGTGCAAACAGAGACATGCACCATCTTTAAAAAAACACGTGCAAAAGCACAAAAAACATTATCCTTCTGCACATTTCCTCCATAGCTTTCCTGCTGGCGTGGGGTGATGCTCATGGTGCTGCAACGTCCAGCAAGTCGGGAGCTGCAAGTCCCATCTCGGGTTCCCCCCGCCTCGTACACTCCCGAGCCTGGTTTCGCGATCGTAGCACATGTCGTAGACTTCACGGACCGCTGCGTTGCCCCCCGCTCATTTTTTATGTGTGTATGTATGTATGTGTGTTACATGGTTGGGGGTGCGTGACCCCATACCTGTAAAACTACCCATACGAGCCGAAGGCCCAAGGGCAAGATCTATACGCCTAAAAGCCACGGAGAACAGGAAACACCGCACTATCAGGGCATACTAGCGCCCAAAGGGAGTAAGTGAGTTGCGGTGAGCCCACAATACGTTCCAACACTCTCGCCAGACGTGCGGGTTCCCATTGCATGGCCTCCTAATATGCTCTGTTGATGATCGAATCCCTCTTTCCGCACGAATATCATTATAGGATGGGCATTCCAATAACACGTGCTTTTCATCCTCCTTTTGGCTATTAGTACCGCAACAGCTGCAAAACCGCTGCTCCCTGGGGGCATGGTACTTGCCCTCCGCCCATTTAACCTACAATGGTGTTCGGTCCAAACTAACCCAAATCACGGACTGCTTAACCCATTCCATTCTCACAACAGGAGTGCGATCGTGCGGTCCTGGAGCCTAGATGAATAGCAGGTGAACTTTCCTACGACGAGCGCCATTTACACACACATTCTTGAAATCCCAAACACGCGTACGTGTTTCTGAGCTCCGTGTGTTCCAACTCGACCCAAGACTGCGCATCATACTAGAGATACATGTTACCTTAGCAACGTCATTTCACGGTGGCATATTGCGCTTTTGCTTTTACAGCCAGCGGCTAAATGCAAAACTTTTAGCAGCTTGAATGGCCTTGACGATGATAGAAAAATTGTTTCTAAAGTCATTGAGGTATATCCAAAAACGCAAGAAACTTAAACGCATTTTAAGTGATTTTCTACTGCTCTGCTCTGCACAAGCATGGTTTCCAGCAAGGCTTACCAGTACTCCCGAGCCATTGGATGGCAGCTTGATACGACAGTGTTGGTCGCTTGCGAGATAACTTTGGATAATATGCAAAAATTGCGCCTGAAGTGCAGACGAGTTGACGCTTGCATCGCGCCACGTCCTGCAGGGAACCGCGCATGGATCGCAGTTTGCAGCTTGCGGCTTGCAGCACGAAAACATACTATGTTTTCAATTGTCGGCACGGAATGCAGGAAATGCACACAAGTAAACATCGTGTGCTGTCACCGGAAGTTCAAAGCCACCTGCCTTCTCAAACGACAATTTGTATCCCACCCTTGCAGCTTACGCATTAGGGGCTGCCAAGACATCAGCAATTGCCGCTGCGCAGGCGGTAGTATCACCAGTATCTAACTGCGCAAGTTGACGGCTTGGGTGACGACCGACATCCTCCGTTGCCTCGACAGGCGAGGCAGAGAAGAAGAATGTCCGAATCGAAAGGAATATCACCAACACGAGGGTTCTCATTTCGTCATGATATATCTGATTGAAACAAAAGAATAACCCAGTTGCATCATGTTCAAGCCAGAATGTGACCGTCGGGTAACTGTTATACGACTTGGATTTGCTTACCGAAGCGAGTAGGTTCTTCCGTTATAGAAATGCGCTGTTAGCGAATGATTTAAGCCATAGTCCTGTCTTCATTGTGATCCCATGCGCTGCAAGTGCGTCGCTACGTCTCGCTACGACCATCGAATCCCGGCAGGCCTTGTCCAACGTGTTTTTAAGACATGAATAAAAAAATATAATCCAGCTGTGTTGTACGCTTTCTTATGCGGTTTGAGATTTCTGTTTGGCGCTGGTGGTGTAATACTCGTCCCGATATTCGGCTTGCAGGAAGGAAAATGAAGGAACAAATCAAATACTGGAGAAATTAGTAATAGCTTTAATATGTTATGTTGCGTCAATTAACCTTTACATCCTTCCTTAAGCCAGAGGCCGCGGTCGACTGACGGAGCGAACAGGAGCGAAGGTCTGATTGGGAAGCTTAACCGGCAAAATGTCCTTGCCAACAAAAGCCCAAGCTCACAATACCTGTAATTACAGAAGCTAAATTATCATTCCTTCATCATTTGTTAGAGCTCAATGCACATGCATTCAGACCTCCCGCTGATGCCCGCGCGTTTCCAAATTACGGAATGGAGGATTGCGAAATGGTTTAAAAGCGAAGATTGCGAAACTGTTAAAACAACTTAATGAATCTGTTTGAATTGTTACATTTTTCTTCTTTTCTTTGCCTAGCTTCGTTTCCAAGATTTCCAGCAGCTCTCGGGAACAACATCCTCGGGAACCGAGAGGCATTCTTGTCCCTGTATGCTCGCACCACAAGGCCTTCATAGTGTCCCCCGCATGATCCCCCTCCCCATGAACGCCTATGAAGCAGGAGAACGATGGTGAACATGCATAGAAGGTTTTTCTGTGGACTGGTTGGAAGCGATTCGGGCACCCTGGGGGACGCGTCAATTTCGGCGAAGACACCAAATGGCCCTGGACCGGAATCGTCGACGAAAACCAACTACCAATCGACGAAAAACAACTGCCAGTCGGCGAAGCAAGAAATATCTACCGGTTGATATTTGCGAGACAGTGGCGCCTTCTCGTCTCGCTGAGCTGCGCTTTTGGTGCTTTCTTAGCGCTCAAGGGCGGTTCAGCTATTTCTTGTGAAAGGGAAATGAGGCTCCTGCGATCTCCTCCACCTCCGAGCTTGGACAAAGCTTGGTTGGTGCGATTCCGTCGGTTGAAAAGTTTGGATAACTACGAGGCCGTTTCAACAGTCTAGGAATGCTCCTTGCCATGCCAAGAGGTGTTTCCGGCATGTAGGTAGGCAATACGTCTCTTTTAATGCTCGAAACGTCTCTCAAGAGGCAAAACATGCAGTCAACCTGATCTGCAGTCTTCAAGCTGACCAGGGTTGCCATATTACACGCACGCACCGTATGCATGAAACAGAGCATGAAATGGCTGTGTTGTAGCTGGGCGCTGAAAAGGCCCCTCGAGATGCTGGTGCACTCGCTTAGCGCGTATTTGTAGAAGTTATGTGTGCCGTACTGTGTACCAGCGACAACAGGCTGCGAGGCGAGATTCAACGAAGTTTAGGCATAAACAATTAGCGTAGGACTCGAGAACTAAAATGCAAAAGCTAAATTACGAAAAATTTCCTAAAAGATAGTCACGCTGGTTCCGAGGGCTGGCATGGAGTATATCCTTCTAGCAAGAGTATGTACTACATACTGGCCTATAAGGGCAGTGTACACGCCCTTCAGGACCCCAACTTTCGACCCGGCAACGCGTTGCCCATGATGATCACGATATCGATGGGGTTTGCGGAGCGACCAGACCAACTCATGTTGGGCGTGGCCGGCCGGCCTCTGCGCACATGAACATAAAGCTCGTAGGGTGTTTTTATTACATGTTGATGTCTACAGAGGTGCTTCCTAATTAGGATTGCACGGCAACTCTGTTAGTATCCTACGTTGACAAATTTCGTCGCGGTAAGGGTTCCCAGCTTTTTAAGTACTTTAGATGGTAATGCCCAAGATGGCAACACGGCAGGCCATTTTCCCAGGCTCTGATATGGTTTCTAAAAGGAGCACGAGGCCAGGCGGCCAGCCTTGTCTCAGCTGTCATCACATCTAAGACGCCACTCAAGGGTGGCTCAGAGGGTGGCTCAGGCCCATTCATGCACCAGTTAAATCACCACCAGTCGCAGGTTAACGATGATGTACTGTGCATGTATTCTGCACCTGGTGTTGCTTGCCAATGGAATGAGCCCATGCGAGCTCTGGGTTCTCTAGTTTTGGGACCCACAACAAGCAAGACGACGGCAAGACGTGCTTACTAGGATAGCCTACAGCTGGGCGGACAAGCAGATGCTCCGAAACCGATACCCGTTGCTTAGGAACCGCCCAAAGCCAAAGGGCCTCTCTTACAGCAAACGGCATGTATCTCCGTTCTGCAACATTCGGCTACGCGCATTAGGCTGTTCTACCTCCTTCATGCTTCCCCCAATGCCCCCATCGTCGTTCCAGCAGTTGCTACAACTGGGTTGCTTCATTTCAAAACAACAGCCAATTGCATGCAGACCGAGGCCCCGCCCTCGCCCCGGTAGAGCATCAGCACCGTCTGCAGGCGTCCTCTCAAGCGGAAAACGTTTCCTCCTCCCAGTCTACCGGCCACGAACACGCACTGCACACATTATCATTCAACTGCACGCAGCGTCACCAGCGAACCCAGGTGCTGCCAGCTCTGCACAGAGGCCCTAGGCGAATATAAAAGGACGACTACCTGCCTTGCAAAACCCCTGCCGGGGCGCCTGTAGCCCTATCCAACCGAGATCTCTAGATACGGACCACAGACACAAGGTTAATGGTAAGCATGCCGATAGGCAGGGAACAGAAAGACAACAGGAAACGCCCAAACCCAAATAACGAATCTGAGGCCCAGAGCGAACGGCCGGGATACACCCATATGCCACAGCACCATAAACACGCACAGGCACAGGTCAGTCACAGCTCACCATAAGCCTGTAAACCGTTTCCACACAGACGCAGGCGCGTTCATTTGATTGTCGGGCATCAGCGTTCTCTCACAAAGTCGCGAACATGTGGTTCAGTCCACATGCACTGAAACTGCACACATCAGTCAAGTGCATGATCACCATCCATCTTGTTAAGACGAATTCTGCGAAGCCCTGACACCTCCAATGACCTGCAACATGCCTTTCCATTGCCACGTCATATATTCCACTTCCTTGTCCGGGGTATAAATAAATGCTTTTTACTCCTCCTTCAGCACTAAATCTTCTGCGGCTGGTCGGGCAACGTCTGGTATAGTGGCAGGGCCACAGAGTCTGGCGTCTTGAGAAACACGCCCTGGATGTTGCTCCACTTTTTGGGGATGTGCTCCACTGCCGCGCACAGCGCCGCGAGGATGTTCTCCTGCACCTGCTTCGTGGAAAAGGAGCTGAGACCCACCTTGATGTTTACAGACGTGCCGGTCCCCTTGAAAAGGTATGTGCAGGCACAGGCCTTTTTAATCTCTGCGGCCCAGTTGGCCTTGCGCAGGTTGATTGGAACAGGTTGCTTCTTTTTCTTAAAGAAGGACTTCCCAATTAGCTTTGGCAGCGAGGGCAGGATTCTGTCATCCGCCAGGAAGAGGTCAAAGGATTTGCACAACTTGCGCTTGGCCTCGTAGGACTCGTACTTCGTACGGAGTTTCGTCGTCCCGATGACCTTGGCCACGCCCCCGTTCTTCTCCAGCTTCGCGAGCTTTTTCTTGGCCTCCTTACCACCCTGCCCGTCAGGCGTGTCTTTGACAAAGAGGCAGATTTCTTGTCCGTCCGTTGTGTAGAGGGGGTGTGGAATTGGCAAAGGCACCGGCTTGTCTTTGCGCGGCTGCATAGGCATTTTCTTGAGCGCTAGCTGCATATAGAAGACCTCCTCATCGTCGAAAAGCGCGTTGGTCTTCTCCTTCCGCTGTCCCACATACTTGAGCAACGACTGCACCGCTTTCTTGACCTGCAAGTCAGCGATGTCCACCCAACGACTGAGATCGATGACTGACGTTATGAGCAGTCGAAAGGTCAGCAGGTGCAGCCCCAAGCGCGGGAGAGGTATGCGGTGAATGCCGTGCCCAGCACGGCGGTGTGACACAAGATTGTGCCTTTGTAACGTGCTTCGGGCGTGGATACACACTTAAAGCGCTGAACAATTCCCCGTGAAGACAAGACACACCTGCTCAGGTTTCCACCCCGGTAGCTTAACATCGCCGGCAGCTCGAGACGTGCTTGCCGGCGGCGCCGAGCGGTCGAGCTCTTGGGACATAAGGAATAATCGGGCTATAGTCTAAAAATCTGAAACCCAGTAGGGACTTTAAGGCTTCCCAAGGCAAAAATATTGCGTTCGTTAAAAGATGAGGCGGCTTGGAATGAATAGTTATTCTTCAATACAACAGATGCCGTTTCGAAGTGTACTTGGAATTATGCAAAGGGTTGTCTGCGCCTCTGCGAAACAACATCATTGTGGACGAGCATATACGGCAAACCGACGATTCACAACAATTCGCTCTACAAACACGCTGTAGGATCTGCTTTAGGGCATGACATTTGGTCCACCCAACCCGTATACTACTGAAGTGTTTTTGGTCTGGTAGCGACAATGCAGCTTGCAGTGGTGGGTCAGCAGGTGCCGACCATCGCACGGTCGGGCGCGAAGGCTACCCAATTGTGCCCGATGAAGGCGCTTACGGCGCGCGTGAGCAGGCGTGCAGGTGTGGGCGTGTTAAGAGACGCTGCGAGCCTGGTGCGTGGCCAGCCTCAAAAACATGACGGGGGACCCGGCGCGGTCGTTTGCCCTGCAGTTAAGGCTCAGGCCGTTGCAGCTCTACCTCAAAAGAACATCAAGGTGTCAGATGTCAACGCTGTTGGCTTGAAGGATGTCCCGCTGCGGTCGCTCTTCCCTGACGAGCCCAAGCCGCCTGCTCCGGTGCGTTTCAGTCCGTATATGCAGTAATACCATTAAGACAGTCATATACAAGCATAATTGGGTGGTTCGCGCAGTCAATCCATTAACGGGCTGCCATTTGCTTACAAGGGCATGTTCTTTATTTGTCGCGTGCTCGCTGGTCAATACCTTTTTTTGCCACATCACACTATGTCACGCTATGAGCAAAGCATCTCTACTCGCGTTGGTGAATGTCCCAACGTGTTTCGCCGTCGGTTACGGTGCCGTTCTCACCTGGATAAGGATACCAGCCTCCCAAACCCCAACTCCCCGAAAACCTCCAAATTCGTTCTTCCAGGGAGCGCCAAAGCTCAAGGTGGCCATCGTCGGCGGCGGCTTGGCGGGTCTTTCCACAGCTGTGGAGCTTCTGGACCAGGGGTAAGATAACACAGATAACCCAGATGCACCTTACAGTTTTCACGACTTCCGGTGGGTTTGAAGTGGTGAGGGTGGCGAGCAAGGACGAGGGTGAAGATATACGGCGAAGTTGGATCACGAGAGTGATATTTTACTTGTGACAGCTTAGGCCAGTAGCACGTATCACAAGGCCAATATTGCACTGATATAAAGGTGTGTCCTGAGGCATAAAGGCAAGGTGATAGGGGCATATGGCAACAGGAGCTTGTGTGAGCCAGCCATCGGCCGTTTGAAGAGAAGCAGCTGCGGAATGGCAGTAGCAGTTCCATGGCAGCGGCCAATCTAGCCACGGATTAACCAAGCGGCTGCGAGTAACCAAGCGGCAGCGGCAGCAACAATGGAAGCAACAGCGGCAGTATCGGCTCTGTGGGTAATTCTGCTACGTCGGCAGCGTCGTCGTCGTCGATGCTGTTTTTGGGGTCTGTTTGAGACAGGGCTGTAGCAGCGGCTGCGGCAGCTGCAGCTGCACAAGTAAAATGGAATTTTTTTAAGGACGGCAGTGGCAGCTGCTGTAGCTGCAGTGGCAAAGACACAGCAGTGGCGGCTGCAGTAGAAGAGGGCCCAGAGAGAAGGGCCAGGGCGCGCCCCTCTTCCCCTCCTTCCCGACTTAACTTCTGGCGCATCAGTCTATCAGCTTGGCATCAGCTTCACTCGTTCACGTGGTTCGTCTTCCCCTCCCTCCCGACCTCATAGGCAGGAAGAGGCGGGTAATAGGGGTCCTCCCGGCCCTCCTAGGGGGCCGGGCGGCCAAGGGGGAAAGACGAACCACACACGAGTGAAGCTGCTGCCAGGGCAAGAGGGGGGCCAAGGGGGACTACAGACTGCAGAGAGTGGGTCCAGGCGGATATACTCCCAAGAGGGAAGGGGGGGGAGGACTTGGAGCGGAACTGCCATGCCGCCGGCCGCGTGAGGCCAGTCCGAAACGGATAAACAGACTGATAAACAGACGGACAGGTCGTTGATGATTCCTGAAAAGGGGTTAGGAGGGTCTTGGGCAGCAGCCAGATACAAAGCCGATACTGAGTCCAACTCCCTCCTGACGACGCAGTGTGTTTCCGTTGACGCGTCATTGTTCTCTTTTACCCTCAATTTCTCCTCTGCTTGCCTGTCTGTCTGTCTGTCTGTGTGCCTAACCTGACTATCTGCCTGTGTGCCTTACCTGGCTACGTGTTTTTTCGCGCCGTACAGGTACGAGGTGGACATTTATGAGGGCCGGCAATGGATTGGTGGCAAGGTGGCATCATTCGTGGACAAGAACGGCAACCACATCGAGGTGGGCATGGGTCCAGCTGCGGCACGAGCACGAGCCTGGGCCCGCCCGTTGGGCAGTTGGTAGTTGGTGGTTTCAGTTAACTTGGAACGGGCAAGCGGGACCTAACTCCCAAGCGGCTTTGTGGAGACTTAATCGCGAGCGTGGGACGTGTGGCGATGTCGGTGTGTGTATGTATGTATGTGTGTACATGTGCGATACCAGATGCTTGGTGGGGGCCGAGGAGGGGGAGGACGAGGGGGAGGAACAAATTTGTTGTTGCCTTTCTTCGATGCGTGTGTTTAGCCCTGACCGTGTGCTTTTGCCTTCTATCCTCATTCTTTCCCCGCCTCTTCTTCATTCCGCTCTTTTGATGTTCCCCTTCCCTCTCCCCTCCTCTCCCTCCCCCTCTCCCCCCCCTCTCCCCCCCCCTTTCGGCCTCCCTTTGGCCCCGCGTCCTTCCCGCTATGCAGATGGGTCTTCACGTGTTCTTCGGGTGCTACTTCAACTTGTTTCGTCTGATGGCCAAGTGCGGGGTGCTGGAGAACCTGCTGCTCAAGGTGAGGGCGAGGAAGGAATAGTGTGCGTGTGTGTGTAGAAGATGTTTAGATAATGTGTGTGCGTGTGTGTGATGGACCGTGAAGAGAGGTGTGTGTAGAAATGTGTGAAAGTGTCTCATGAAGGACACCTACCTCTTGCAACCCGCCTGACATACTGACATTGGTGTTGACTTCAAGGAAATGTGTAAATTCCTAATTCTGTGTATCATTTCCGTGGTTTGAACTGGACTTTGGATCCGTACGTTGTCGTACAGGATCACACCCACACGTTTTGCAATAACGACGGCGATGTCCGGGAGTTGGACTTCCGTTTCTACGTCAACGGAATGAAGATCGGCGCGCCCTTTCATGGTGAGCCAACTAACTGAATAACTGATTAACTAACTCCCAGTGTCCCGGCGGGGCCCTTGAATCGGCCCCCACGATTTGCGAATGATTTTTTTGTTGATGAAAATGCCCCATCCTGCCTTTTCCTGTTTGATTTTCATTTTGGGGGGTTGGGGAAAAGAGAGAGGATTTTGATGGAATCGGTTGTTGGGTGGGTGGGCATGACAGTCATGTCATGTCATGTTGTGAGTGTGCGCGTGTGCGTGTGTGTGTGTGTGTGTGTGTTACAGCAAACAACAGTTGCAATCAATCCCCTCCTTTGGGTCAGTTCTATGTCTGGTACACTCTTGCCCTGGCAGCGGCTTCACTCGTTCACGTGGTTCGTCTTTCCCCCACCGGGTAGCCTCTGCCCCCTTTCCACCGCCCATTTCCTTCCACACCCACCCACCCACCCTTGCATCCCCTCCCCCCCCCCCCGTGATCCCAACCGGTGCCCAGGCCTCAAGGCGTTCTTCACGACCCCCCAGTTGGAGCCCCTGGACAAGGTGGCCAACAGTCTGGCCCTGGGCACCTCCCCCATCGTGCGGGCGCTCATTGACCCGGAGGGGGGCATGAAGGACATCCGCGACCTGGACGGCATCTCCTTCACGGAGTGGTTCACCAGCCATGGCGGGTCCATGAACTCCATTAAGAGAATGTGGGACCCCATCGGTAAGGCTTGGATTGGATTGGGAAACCCAAAGATGTCAAGTTCCGCGCAAGGGAGGGGAGGGGCGTCCGTAAAAGCTTGGCTTGTTGTGTGCAGCGCGTGAGAAAAAGGGGGAAGGGAGGTGTGTGTGTGTGTGTTTGTGTGTTTGTGTGAGAGTGATGGGTGTGGGGGGTGTGTTTGGGGGGGGGGCAGGGTTGTGGGTTATTGGGGCAGTTTGCCAAAAACTGTCGTTGGTTGTCAGGTCGTGTAAAAGAGCTGTGAGTGTGCGCGCGGGGAAGGAAGGCTGGGGGAGGGGGTAATTGTAATACGTTAAAAAATTGTCTTTTAAGAATGAAAATTTAATTTGTAATTTTGGGTGCGTGGGTCTGTGGGTTATGAGGCTGCTGGGCTTCCCTCCTTCACCTTCTTTTCTTTCTCTACCTCCCCTTCCAGGTTTGCCTTTCCCCTTCCAGGAAAAAGACCTATCCCCAATTTTCATCATTCCGCCGCCGTCGCAGTGTCGGTTGTTATTGTTATGATACGGCGTATGTATGGATATGGAGATATTGTTTCTTTTTTCTCTCCTCTCTCTCTCTCTCTCTCTCTCTCTCTCTCATTTTCCAAGACTCACCCACCCGCCCGAAAAAAGAAAAAATAAACCTGAAGAGAGCACAAAAATCTTAAAAGCATCATCAGCTCCCCCTGTCTGTCTGTCTGTCCGTCTGTCCGTCCGTCCGCCCTGTGGTCCTGCAGCTTACGCGCTAGGGTTCCTGGACTGCGACCACATCTCCGCCCGCTGCATGTTGACCATCTTCCAGTTCTTCGCCACCAAGACGGACGCCTCCGTACTGCGCATGTTGAACGGCTCTCCGGCGGAGCGGCTGCTGAAGCCCATCGCGGACTACATCACCGCCAAGGGCGGCCGCATACACACACGCGCGGGATGCAAGTAAGGGCCCCCGGTCTGGCTGGGCTGGGGCGGGGGTAAGGATGGTGAAAGGAGAGGCGTGTAGGAAGGGGACTTGGAGGGCGGCCGGGGGTTTGGGGGGAAAGGAGGGGAGGTATGAGAAGGGGGATCCGGTCGCCATGTTATGGTATATGGAGGGCGGGAGGAGGAGGAGGAGGGCTGGATTGGAGGGTGTGTATATGTGTGTGTGAGGGGCCGTGTGTGTATGTATTGTCTCCTAGGAACGCGGGGGAAGCAATCGGCGGGAATGATGGCAGTGCGGAGGAGGAGGAGGAAGAGAAACCGCGAGTAGCAGCAGCACGGATTAGGGCGAAGGGAGTAGAAGGCGAGGGTTTAGAGGTGAGGTGGCGGTTGGTGGGCCTTGTCGTTTTCTCGGGCTAGCTGGCTTTCTTTGATCTGTGTGGGTTTGGTTTGTGTTTTACCTTGTTTTCCTTGGCGTCAAAACTTACCTAACAGCTTACCTTCACCAAAAATTTTACCTTGGGCGCAGAGAGGTGTTGTACGAGAAGGGCCCCGACGGCGCCACTCGTGTCACCGGACTTCGTGTTGGACCCACGGGTCGGGAGCAGCTGGTGACCGCGGATGCCTACGTGGCCGCGCTGGACGTGCCGGGTATAAAGAAGTTCCTGCCCCCCGCCTGGCGGAGCGCTTACCCGCAGTTTGATGCGATTTATAAGCTTGTGGGCGTGCCGGTCATTACCGTACAGCTGCGGTACGACGGCTGGGTCACGGAGATGAAGGTGAGGCGCGGGGGTCAAGGGCGGGAGGCGGGTTTTATGGAAGGCATGAGCGGTAATCTCTTTCTCTTCTTGGCTCGATTGTCTCTTTATTTTCTGACGTATCTTGTGTCTTCGTTTCGAATCCCTGTAACCCCTCCTCCTCCTCTTTCCCCCCCGTTCTCCACACAGACACACTCCACGCACGTCCATCCATCCTCACCAGTTCTCATATGCTGGATTCACTCCCAACGCACGATGCAAGCACATGTGCACGACACACAAGCACATGTACGACACACAAAATACATCCCCGCTCTCCCCCGGGCGCGGCACAGGACGCTTCCCGTGTTCGCGACACTCGCTCCCCCGCGGGTCTGGACAACCTGCTGTACTCGGCGGACACGTACTTTTCCTGCTTTGCGGACCTGGCGCTCACGAGCCCCGTGGAGTACTTCAAGGAGGGCGAGGGCAGTCTCATGCAGGTCCGGGAGGGGGGGGGTCCGGGGGGGGGAAGAAAGGTGGATGCTGGAAGGGAACGTCGTGCGAGTAGTCGAAATCACAAGTATCTCGTGGTTCATCGCAGTTTAATGAGTAGCTCTATAGTCAGAGGGTTTAATTCTTGTTCCTGTCTGTGCTTCTGTATGTCGGTATGTCGGTACATTGGCGGAAATGGCCATTCAAAAAGGCGAGCATTACCTTTTTTTCTGTCTCCGGTTTGTTCGTGTCCAGTGTCCTCCGCATCGTTTCACTTTTTCACACCAATCGTTCGTTCCCCCACACACACATGCACCCGCCGACAGTGCGTCATCACGCCCGCCGCGCCGTACATGTCCTGGACGAACGAGGCCATCGCGGCCGAGACCGATCGGCAAGTACGGCAGCTCTTCCCCTCGGCTCGCGGCCTCAAATGCACATGGCACTCGATTGTCAAGATTGGTCAATCTCTGTACGAGGAGGCGCCAGGGATGGACTTGTACCGCCCGGATCAGAAGACGCCGGTGCCCAACTTTTTCCTGGCGGGGTCGTACACCAAGCAGGTACGACATGCACACATATACACACCGCGCGTGCGGACGTGTATTGTTGGACTTTTTTGTTGTGCTTTAAATGTTGCATGTCGCATGTCACTTGGAATTGGGAGGTGCATGTGCAACAACCCCCTCCCCCTGGCCTCGGTAACCGCTAACAACCGCTAACAACCGCCAACAACCGCTAACAAACCCCCCGTAACACGCCGAACCCTTCTCCAGGATTATATCGACTCCATGGAGGGTGCCACATTGTCAGGTCGTCAGTGCGCGTACTCTATCTTGGAAGCCGCTCCGAAGATTCTCAGCGACAAGACCAAGATCGCCTCCGCCTCCGCCGCTAAGCCAGTGCCTGCAGGGGCAGTGGCGTAACTAACCCTCGCTTGCCATGCTGTGATGGCGGAATCTGCTGTGATGGCAGCGGCAGCGGTGACGGCAGCGGAAGGCCATCACGTCATTCGGTTGCTAACTGCTGCCGCCGCTACTTCTGCTGTTGCGACGACGACGACGACGAGATGTCCTCGATTTGAAGTCACATCACACTGCCCGTTGCGGCCCTGTTGCCGCTCTGTAGGGCGCTGTAGCGGCGGCGGATGCCTGAGCACATGGTGTGCCCGCAGCGGCAGATGCGGAGTACCGGATATATGTACGCGGTGTGTCTGCAGCGAAAACGGGGGGAACTAACCCCACATCCCCTCGGCGTTGCGTGTCCGCTGCCGTTTTATTATATCCTACAGGCGCCCTGTCTTTTGGTGACAGGCTAAGTCTGTGTCTATCTGTTTGTCTGTCTGCCGTCCCCGGCCATGTCTGCTCGCTGCACTGAACTGGCGTGGTTGGCTTTTACGGCGGAGGAGGAAGAGGAGGAGGGACGCGAAGTGTTGTCGCAATCTAGGGCGGCCACGCAGGCGTCCTTGTTTTGGAGGTCCTGAACTGATACAAGGGAGTTCTGTTCTCTCTCTCTCTCTCTGTGTGTGATGTGTGGAGAGTAGTGTCTGTGGTCTGTGTCATGTATCTATTGGGAGGGGGGAAGAAGGGGAGAGGAAGAACCGAAGCGTTGAGTGGCCGAATGTGGCCTAAGGAGTGGCGGTATGATGAAGAAGATGAGTTGTAGAGACTGAGGGGGCAGGTGTAGTAGCAAACCTCCCTGGACGGGATTCGAACCCGGAACTGGACACCCGGAGACACCCGGACTCGATGACTCGGGACCTGAAAAGCAATCGCGGGCTTGGAACAGGATGAGGAAAAAGGAGAGGGGACGTGGGCATGGAGCGCGACGTCGTTGCCGCCAGCTAGGCAGCTGAAAGAGCCCGGTCCTGTTCTGGCAAGTTTTGTCTCTGCAAGGAGAGCTATATTTCTGCCAATGCAGGCTTGAACAGGACGGGGCGCGGATATCTGGACAGTTCTCACAGCGATTCACGCCTCTACCGTATGCATACCGTGCTCCTCCATTGCGCGTGAACCAGCGAGATATGGAAGAAAGGAAGGAGGGGTATTATGCAGATGATGTACATCACAATGTAAAAACCTCGTACATACATATGTGTAGGCACACATACATACATGCATACACCCAGGGGCCCTCTTCCGGGGTCCTGCGGACAGCACGCAAAGCATGCATGTGCGTGTGTGTGTATGTATGTGTGTGTACATATGGATGCGAATTTATGAGAGGGAAGGTGACCTATGTATGCTGTCGATTTGCGCGGACGAATCTCCTCCCCATCGCCGTGTACGCAGCATGTGTACGGAGTGGTGTTTGCGGCCCAAGGAAAGTGAGGTTTTGTAGTAGGCGCGGTGATGCGGCCACTGCGGGACACCTAAGAGGTGATACTGCAGCTGCAAGAGGGCTATGAGGAGGAAGTCTGTGGGAACAACAATTGTATCCCCATACATGACCCGAACTGCGAAAGGGCGAAGCACATGGTGAGTTTCTTTGGGGGTCCTCATTCGAAGGTTTTCCCAAGGTCTCTGTCCTTGCCAGCAGTGTGTTTTTCTTTTACAACCACATGCGCAGTGCATTAACAACTACGATGTAGTGTTTGCGTGTAAAAATTTCCGCGTAGCCAAAACGCGAACTCCGGAAAATCTTTGGTTCAGATATAAATAAGAGGGTACTTCGTGTAGGGTGAACAGCAAGGACGGTGGGTTCTACGACGATCAAAACTCGACAACTTGCGGCCCTTCATCTCCGGGCCGAGCTATCACCGCGGCCGCCGCTCTCCGAATGAGCAGCCCATGTCCAGCGACTCCCGCAACTTGTTGGACCTCATCAGCAATCTTATCGTACGGCTCATTCTCGCCGTACAGTTTAAGTCCCTCGTAAAACCGCACGTCCACGATGGTGTAGCCCTGAAGGTCGGGCGAAGAAGGAAAACGCGTTCTGAATTTATAAATCGAATTGTAAAAAGGAACTGGTGAAATTTCGGAGTGGAGAAGACAAGAAATATACTGCCGAGCACGCTGAAGTAAGGACCAGCCTTGCTAAGCTCCTCCTTTGGGTGGCCTCTAAAAAATCTCACCGTCAAACTGGAAAGTTGTACGAGGGTGCCGTACCTGAGGGCTGACGTACGGATGGTCGCCGCCCCGGGGATTCTCGGGTTGTCCCGCGAAGGATCGCCGCCTGCAATAATCAAGCCATGAACCATTACGGAATATCAAGATACCATAATAAAAAAAGTATGCACAAAGTAAAAGGTGCATGGGCTAATGTATACATGAATTGGTTAGGTCGAATAGGTTTGCGACTTGGGCTCGGAGCGCACGTAACGCTCATAACGCTTACCAGAGCTCCGCATCACCCAGGAAGATGTCGTCTAGTTGCTCTGCGTGTTCCTCCCAGCTGTCCGCCTTCAGCCACACAGGCAGCACACCGCATAGCCGCTCGACCACCTGTGAGCACGCACACACACATACATAGACATGCACACATGCGTACATACATACAGATACACATAAAGTACATAAACACATAGATTCATACGCATATACAAGCATATACAATAGCCAACGACTTGGCGCGACAATAATGGTGGCATGTCATCCTAACCTAACCACTCACAATGCGCAATGGCATTCCCCTCTTATAGCACTGAAAGTCTCGACTTTGCTGGGGATGATCCTCCACTGAGCTAAATCCAAAGAATCCCAGTACCATTAGCAGCAGTAGCAGTAGCAGTAGCCGTAGCAGCCTCGTGTTAGCACAGGGCCACAGCGCGCCCAACGTTTCGGCTGGCGGCCGGCCAGCTGGCGCACAGGAGAGAACCCTGAGTTCCGCACAAGTGCGGGGTGAGGCCGTCCGTAAATGCCAGTCGGGGCCCAAGGGCGGTAAATTGCCACCTCAACCTACATCAATCTCTCCCTGTGCCTAGCCTAGCGCAGACCTCGCTAAAACTCGCACCCTGGAGGACTCGACCAACAGCACGAGGACAGGACCAGTGTCGCTGCTGGACCCTGACGCAGACCCACGGGTCGTTAATGCGGCAAGGAGCCTGGGAACCTGCGGTACAGCAAACGATCAAGACAAGATCTTCAAGAAGAGGGCGTCTAACCGTATTGTATTCTACACGTAGACGCGTTTATAGGTGGTTATGTGAAATTCACTAAAATAGCACATTACTGAAGGAAGATGTGAACATGTAGAACCAGCAAGCGAAAGAAGCCAGGAAGATGTTTGCGCCAACTATCAACACAAAAAGCTTTGCGCTGCGAAGAAAAGGTGCCAATCAACGTGAAAGCAAAAACATGTATGATGAGGTCTTGATGATGATGACGCAGTCGCCAACATACATACGATACTCCGCAAAACGATGATGATGGAAAAATGTATATTAATTCATAGCACAAACTTACATCAGGTTGCTGTGGCTCGGCGGCGCATCCTACAAGTGCCGCATTTGCCTTCATGTCGAATTGGTCTGCGTCCGCCACCACAACTGCAGCCTGCCGGCAATGTTTTCGTGATATAGCAGTGTAATGTATGAGTACGTGCATGCGTGTGCGCTAGGTCAGGGTCAACTCCGCTGACCTCTGAAAATCAAATCTTAGGGTTGGGTTCTAGGGTTTTAGGATTTTAAATCTAAGAATCCAAATCCCCAAATCCCTCGCTTAACGTGTAGCAGCACCAGCACATCAATCCCGTTGTGTGCAAGCGGCGGCTCCTGGCCCCTTCCCTGCCCTTCCCCACCCCGGGGGGTTTTCCCCTCACCCAGTTGTACATCGACCCAGACAAATCACTGCACGCGGCAAAAATAACACACACACACACACAAAGAGGGCAGAACAGAGCAGAGCAGACACATGGGGTATTCCCGCCACGTTGCGCGTACATGCTGAGTTTGTGTATTCCTTCGTAACCACCATGATATCTCAGCAACCACTAAACAACCACCACGCAACCATGAAAAAGCAACAGAACAGCATCATCACAATCACGCAAAAGAACCAATCACGTGACAACAACATAGCAACGACGCAACAATACCGTTGTCCCGATTCCGAGCTCCATTCTCAGCTGCCACGCTGCGCCGTACCTCCGTCGCGCGACCATCCGCCACCAGGGGTACCCCGTGGAATGCCGCCTCGTGGGCGGCAGCGTCACATACTGGCACGCCAACAACATCCTGCGCGGCGCCCCAAGTAGGCAGGCCCCCCGAGTAGCAGGTAGCGTGGCAGACATACATACATACATACATACATACATACATACATACATACATACATACATACATACATACATACATACATACATACATACATACATACATACATACATACATACATACATACATACATACATACATACATACATACAGACAGACGGACGATAGCGAATTAGACGTCGTTGTGGTGGCGATATACGGGCTCCCGAGAACCGTGCAATCGTGTACGACCGGGTCACTGAATAAGTGAGTGGGTGAGTGAGTGAGTGAGCAGGTGAGTGAGCGGGTGAGTGGGGTTTTGGGGTTGCACACGTGCCGAACACTGACAGGCCGCTACACGTCGGCCGCATCCGTGTCGATCTATGTAGGTGTGGGTCATAAATAAGGAAGGTCGCGTGCAAACCCCCTTCTTACAACAGCCATCTGCATTGCCCGCAGTCCCCTCCTAGAACGTGCCCACTCCCGCCTTTTCCCCTCTACAACAACAACAGACCCGACAGGGTCTTTTCTTTTCCTCCCAAACCCCCACCCCCCGGCAGCAATCAACAGCAGCAGCAGCAGCAATCAACAGCAACAGCAATCAACAGCAACAGCAGCAGCAGCAATCAACAGCAACAGCAGCAGCATCAACAGCAGCAGCAGCAGCAATCAACAGCAACAGCAGTAGCAGCAGCAATCAACAGCAGCAGCAGCAGCATCAAAAGCAGCAGCAGCCTACCTGGAGGCTCCCTACTGCCAGCCGCCTGCCCACTTCCTCAATTACCAAGTTGGACTAGGAACCCAAAGATCGCAGTATCCATCACCGTGTGGCGGAGAGCGGCAAGGTACGGCGACGTACGACAAGGTCCGTTGGAGGGGGGATGCGTATAGCCCGCAGGAACTTAGAACGGCGGCGGGCGGAGGAATGGATGCGGGTTGGTAGGAGACCACAGCAGCAGCAGCAGTAGCAGTGACAGCAGTAGCAAAATAGGAAGGTGATATGCACACACACACACGCATCGAGTTGTGCCCATGGCCATGGTCTCGGCTGTACGGCGTCTCACGCTGCCTCTACCCCACACATCGACACTGCCATTTCAAGCCGTGCGTTTCATAATAATCGCTTTTTCTCCTTCTCTGCATTTTTATTGAAGTATGCGATTCAATGTTCCTTTCTAACACGGAGCGTCACACACACACACACACACACTCCTTCGGGGTTGCACCCACCATCTCGCCCGGGCCCAGCCCCAGCAAGGTGCCACTGCAGATGAAGCGATCCACGCAAGCCTTAGCTGCTGCTCTGTGTCCGGGGCAAGACGGTAATCGCGACGGCACGTGTTTAGGGGGCGATGGGGCGCAGGGGGAAGGGGAGTTTAGCAGCAGGCGATGGGGTTAAGCAATGGATTATAATGTCTAATTCCTTACCCGTCGGGTAGATCTATAACTACTCCCCTGACCTGAATCCTATTGAATCATGAGTCAAAATGGTTTCAAGCCAAAGCTAGGAGAAAGCCATTGGGAGTTTCTTGCCTGTAGAAAACAGGCAAGCAGGGGGCTGGCATAGAGACGTCATCAAGAGGGCTGCAGGGTCAAGGCATCCTCTTCTCAAATTCACATACTCTCTCTTTCTTCGCGCCCCTTGCCCGTAATCACCGACGCACACCGATAAGTGCAGCAGCATGCAGAGGTCAGGCACTACTGGTAACGCACACACCGATGCCCCCCGGAGGTTTCGGGCAGTTGAGCCGCCGCTGATCCGGCAGATTCCGTTGGATGACGATGGTGGGTGCGGGCACTAAGCGATCCACTGAGAAGTCGGCTAGGGATGCCCCGAAATACCGGGGAAGGCAGGGCTTCGCCGGGTAGCGGCCATGGGTGAAGATATGCCCCCTTGACCCACACACACATCATATTGCGTCGGCAGTAGCGTCCGGCGCTGTGCGCTCTTACCGTTTCGACTCGGCAATCGTGTTTTGTTGGCTGCTGCATTGTAACACAGGCATGCACCGACGCCGACTGCATTTAGATGGAGGGACCCTGCGGAGTTTTGGGTAACCACGGTTCGCATCGGAGCACAGAAGATGCCACAGCCGTGCTCAAATTCATAGACGGAGGAATTAAAGCATTTTACTGTTGAATGTAAAATTGTGTCAAAGCGGTGCTAAGGTAGCTTGTGCGCAGCCCACAGACCATCGGCTTGGTTGGGCAGCAACTCGGGAATAACGTTGTATCCTTGATGCAATCATGGTTTAATGTCGGCACTTTATATTCTCAAGTGATGACTTGACGCCGTCGCGGCCACAGTTTGAAGGATGCGTCGCCGAAATGGCCGTGTTGTGGATTGCCAATCTGAACAGAACAAAATACCTTATCTTTGGTAATGGGTTGTGAATCTGATATACTGCAAGATGTAGAGGTCCGCACTCTGTTGCCTATATTTGCTTGCATAGCCGTACGGACGTTCGCTTTGGGGCACCTGCGACAGCTGCCCTTGCTACTTGTCTTACACACGATAGTGCCGAATGGATTTGCGCTATAATCCATGCTTTCTTCCCTAATAAAAAGCAGCGAGATGAAATTTCGGCAAATTATAATAACATTGACGGAGCATGCGCTATGCAGACGTAACGCGATTGCGCATCTTGCCTTCTTCCAAAAGAGCCATGTTTTCTATGGATCATTCACAGCAGCGTTCGCGCTCCTGCAATCCTGGGCCAGGCAAGGGAATGAAAGGAGATGCTGCCTGACAGTGGCTCAACAGTGGTGGAACATGACATCTATCTCTGGGATGACCTCATGGTCTCATAGGAAACGCAATTTTGCACGTATGAATGAACGAGGAAGGTGGATGACACGACGTGTGCACTATTGTATGAGTAACTTGGACTGTTGTATGAGTAACTTGAAAGCTGTCGTTTCACCATGGCGACTACCCGCAGGTATCCGCTTGATTAACAGCAACTGGGAGGTTTTAGGGGCCTTGCCGGCCGCGAGCTGATATCTCCCAACTGCGTTTCAGATGCGCTTGCAGGTGCTTCTTCAGTAAGGTGGGGATTGTGCAATTCAGTTGCACGCATGTGTTCCTATGTGTTCCGAACATTCAGTTCTTAATTACGGTAATGACTAGCAGATAATTATTGTGTGACGCGTGAGCGGACAACTCGTATCGTATCGTTACATGTTGTACTGACATTTGGCCAGCAACATGTGTTCCCGGCGCCCGTAGGACCGTAGGAACAATTTCAAGTCTCATTACAAGGTAAAGTCAAATTAAATAACCTGAAATAGACTATACCTGTAAAATCTGCTTTCCGCGCTCTATTCCTGGCGCACTATCGTACAGCCGCCTGTCGTACCCATGTGTAACGTATCCTCCCAGGCGGACACTTGGTTGTCAAGAACCAACGAGCCGATGCATCGTATAACTGGTAACGCTTCCGTATTCATGGTTATTTCGTTTTCTATTCTTACTCATAACACTATCATAGTGTCAACGGACCTTCAAGTAGGCCGTAACCATCTCAGGCCCAAGCCACGCGCAATTACACCTTTTAAAACTTGAGTCCAGGGCAGACGTAGCGTAGCCGCTGTGAGTATCACCTCAGCCATGGAACAAACGCAGTAGCATGGACTAGCAACGGCATCACCGTAGCAAAGTGTAGGATCTAGATGCGTCTCCAAGTTTTCAAGTCTGCTGCAAGCCTTAGCCATAAGTTTGCGACTCGGGGAGTGGAGAAACGCAGTACGGTGTTCTTGACATAACGGAAAAAACGGCCTTGCAATAGGGCGCATAGTGGCACTTAAGTATGACGGAACAAGTATTTGTTACCAACTGAAGTTCATGGCAACTCCAATCGCCGCGATCCGTACTTAGTAAATACCTTTCGCTTTGGTAATCATATCCAAGCTTTCTATTTTGGGACCAAGACTCTTGGCCATCTGGTCCTCTCGACTATATATCGTATCTAGATCATTCCAATACTTTGAGCTATAAGCAATCCGATTGCTCCGCCGCCGGTCATCCCCTTTCAATGAGCCCCAAACGAGCCAGAGAAGACGGCGGCAAGGAGGGAAAGCAGCACCACAGAAGATTGAAGGAGGTGTGGTAAAGGCTGAACTATCCCCGTGAATAGCCCAGCTTTGATGTCGTGGTTTTCGTCGCGACTGAACCATGCCCAGGAGGTTACCCATCCCCGCAAGCGCTTCTACCGAGCTCGAGCGCACTGCAACCCATTAAACGTTACTGACTTCGACGTGCCGACGCGACCAGAAGAATTTGACTGGTACGGTAGTACTGCGCTGGCTGTGCCCACCTGCCGCCGCTTAACTCAAAGACTAGGCAGTCTTCCAATCTTATGGTTTGGAAGGCCACCCGAGTCTTACATCTCCTTCACTGTGCTGCTTGTGCCCGTGCCTGCTGGCCACATACCCTTCCCCACCTTTCCTCCTCGTCTACCATCCAACCATGGACATTCCCTTCCAAAGCTTTACGACCTGCGATCTGTTCACCTCTTCATGGCCTAACTAGGCTACCTCCCACTTGGTATACCAACGCACTTCCAACACTCTTCCTCCTGGTCGTCCCATCCCGCCAGGTCCGAACACTTTCCCGAGTTCCTATCAGAATGGCAGGACCGGCAGCAACAACAACAACTACTACAACAACAGCAGCAGGAGGACCAGCAACAGCAGCAGCAGCAACCGGGTGATAAGGCCGGTGGTGAGGCCGCGGGGCCCTCCGGCTCCGAAGCCCCCTTGGTGCGCTTTGTGGACATTGGCTGCGGCTTTGGTGGCCTGCTCGTAAAGTGCGTGGGTCGGGTCGGGTCGGGTCGGGTCGGAATGGGATGGGATTGGGAATGGATTGGCAGAGCGCACACCGTCGCTTCATCCGCGCTATCCTTGAACAGGAGCTGCTCCTCGCTTGCGCTCGCCTTGAGCGCGTGAGTCCGTGTACGCCCCTTGATACCGTCCCTAATCCCCCGTCCCCAAGAAGATCAACTGCTGCGGGGTTAGTTAAAAAATTGGAGGAAAGACGGTACACCACCATGGGGAAGTTAGAAGAAAGAAGGTGTTCACAAAGCTGGGAAAGGCAAAAGCGAAGTGAAGCTCCCGGAGGCGGGTGTGTTAGGCAGGAGGAAGGGTGAATCGATGGATACGTTGGATGATGGGTCCCCATCCGCACGGGTCTTGTGGTGCTTACTGGGGCCACTGAGGCTTACTGGCTTGGGGGGGGGCCGGGAGGGGGGCTTACTGGGTTAGCCGGGTAGGAGCATCGCTGTCTAGAAGGAGCTTTAAACACGTCATCACACACAACCTGCCCGCGGTAGCAAGCATCCATGACCCTGGTATATGATAGCATCCATCCCGGAATGTGGCCCGGTAATGAGGTCCCCTTTGACAACCGATATAATCAGGATAACCGATATAGCCGATATAACCGCGAACAATCTGCTAACGCGGATTCGAAGGACCCCACCTCGCGTCCCCCATGATGACGACAAAACCCCCGTGCGTGTGAGAGTGCGTGTAAGAGTGCGTGTGCATGTGCGTGTGCGTGTGAGGGTGCGTGTAAGAGTGCATGTGCGTGTGAGAGTGCGTGTGCGTGTGAGAGTGCGTGTGCGTGTGAGAGTGCGTGTGTTTTTTTCGACAAGTTACCTCCCCACCTGTGGCCACCTGTGCGTCCCCCTATCTATCCCCGCCCAGGTTGTCCACCATCTACCCGGACACGTTGATGTTGGGAATGGAGATCCGGGACAAGGTCTCCGCGTACGTCCGGGAGAGGATAGGTGTGTGCTATGAAGGCCGTGCCGTTAGGAGGTGGTTTCGGAGCTGGGGTGGCTTTGGGGGGGGGTTGAGAGTAATGAGGAGTGGAGTAGGTATTTCTGGATCCTGATATAGTTGAGTTGCCGCCCGTAGGCCTTTCCTCCCCCGACCGCCCCCTTCTCCCCCTGGGGGCCTGCCTACCCCCCGTACATGAAATATTCCATGTCTCCCGACGGCGGCCCCCTGTCCGTACTGCAGCCGCCCTGCGACGTGAGCATCCGGGTTCGTACCGCAACGCTTCCGTACTCCGTACAAATGCCATGAAGTACCTGCCCAACTACTTCAAAAAGGGCCAACTGACCAAGATGTTCTTTCTGTTCCCGGTACGTGTTGGGCGAATGGCAGGGCGCCGTGCATTGCCGTGGTACGGCAGAAGCGACAGTTGTAGGCAGTTGTGGTTCAGGATAATTTAAAAGAATAATGATTTCTCCTCTCGAGCGGCACCACATGTACGGCGCTGTTGTTGTTATTATTTCTTCACCAGCGGTCCCACTCCGTTCGGTGTTTAAGGTGTCGAGTTAAGTACTATATTTTCTTTGTGTCCGCATAGTTTTATTAAATAATAAAAACATTTCACACGAACACATTTCACACTTCTATTCTTCCTCGTTCATATCCCATCCGGATTCTCCGTCGTCCTCTCACCATTGGCCCCCCTCCATCTAACCTCCTCCTTTCCACCATATCTCCTCCACACCACATTGAACCCTCCACACAACAACCGGCCGGCAGGACCCTCACTTCAAAGCCGCCAACCACCGGCGCCGCATCATCAACTCGCACCTCCTCACTGAATACGCCCACTTGCTGGCCCCGGGAGGCTGGCTCTACACCATCAGCGACGTACCGGAGCTGGGCGAGTGGATGGTGGGTGCAATAACCCCCGTGCGTATAAAAGTGTGTGGCAGGGGCAGGGGCAAGTTGAAGCTGGCTGGATATGCTGGCGTAGTGTGACCCAGCCGATCAGACCGAGACTGAGCCGCTGGCTGCTGTCCGGTGGTGCTTGGTGGTGTCCATCCACCCGTGCATTCGTCCCTTCAGGCAGAAATTTAGATAGATAGACATTTAGATAGGTAGAGACAGACAGAGACAGACAGACAGAATTAATCTTTGTTCTAATAGCAGAACAAACTGTTTCCCGTGCTGCCCAGCGTTCCCTGCCCCGCAACATGATGTTCCCTCGCAGAAAGCCAAGTTGGACGCGCACCCGTTGTTTGAACGAGTGAGTGAGGAGGAGCTGGAGAGCGACCCTGCTGCGGGGCTGCTGGCCACGAGCAGTGAGGAGGGCCAGAAGGTGGCGCGAAACGGCGGTGCCACTTTCCGAAACGTGTACCGCAGACTGCCGACACCTCGAGGCCTGCCCCAGCCGCCGCAGGCGGCGGTGAAGCCCTAAACAGGCGACGGCGGCGTAGTGAGTCACTCAGTGTCCCTCAGCGGTCTTGGCCCAGTCCCTCAACACACCGACAACGGTTCGAGCACGAGGATGGATTTGGCTGTTGAGGACGAACGAGTGCGCGATCGTTGGTGGTTCTGTTGCTAGGCTGCATGGCGGCGTGATGGTGCCTGCTGCTGCTGCTGCTCATGATGATGTTGATGATGGTGGGTGCATGTGCTAGTAGTAAGGTAGTGTGCCGGTACGCGGCCTGCGGCCATGGTTGGCCTGCATGACGGAGGTTTGTTGGAGTGAGTGAATACGGGAGGTTTGCACCCTTGTCATTTGCGTCTTGATGACATGATGTAAGGACGTAATGGATCCGATCGATCCGATCTGATCAACGGCAATGCTGCGCGAACCCACCATACACACTGTATGTGAAAAATTCGGTTATGTGTTCAGGATGACGATGTACGGTGACGATAGGGGACTCTTACCGTACACTCGGCACACATGGCTTCATGTATCTTGGGGTGACACGGCACAGTAACGCCGCGGAGTGGGATGGTTTGACGCCACCCCCATCCCCACCCCCGACCCCGTGATGACGTTTGCGGGTACGGCACATGGACCCGCGGCGAAGGACGTATTTACAACATCTGAAGGTAACGTGTTTCTAAGAGTAACGTGTTTGTATGCCTCCGGGTGAAGCCGCTATCGTTGTATTGCACGTCAACTTTGGTGATAAGCTTTGGTGTGCGCGCGACAAAAAGTTCACTGTACGGTACGGCGGATTGCATCTCGGTGCGTGTCGTACAATTAACCGGACGAGAACTTAAAATTGCAGTGTGTGTCTATTAGACGCTCTGAACATGTTGTATATGTGTGTGTGTGTGTGTGTGTTTGCTGCCCCGTGTAACCCTTTCTGCTTTTGGAGATGATTTTTCGGCCTCCATTTACCCTCCCTCATTTGGTGCGGAGCGCAATACCCTGCGGAGCTCGGAGTTCGCGCGATACCGTAGGTAGGCGTCCGAAGCGGCGCTAACACCGCCCGTGTGCCTCAAACGCGCCCTAAGGAGTCGGTGAATGCAAAACTGCTATTGCCGGCCTGCGTGTTATTGCCGGCCTGCGTGAGGGTAACTTTAGAACTAGAGAATATGATCAGGTGGCGTGGCCCTAGCGTTTTTTTATCTCAGTCCGGCGAAATACTTCTTGTCAATGTGCTTAAGCAGGCAGGCAGACAGTTAGGGGACTGCGGCTCAAAAGGGAAGAGGAAGCACAACACCGGCTTAGGATCCCTACGTCTTCCATACAAACATAAGATTGCAACTTGTTTTTCTTCTATTGCATCAGAAAGGTGGGGATAGGGCCATAAGACAAAGGGAACTGCAAAAGGTGAGCTGAATGGTAATTCAGCGTGGTTGCCCTCTCCCCATACCTGCCATGCTGCAAGAGTGTACTTACGAGATAAAGCGGCACACGATCGTCCAAAAATCATCACAGGACAACAGCTGCACACAAAAGACAGCGACCATGTGAAGTCGTAGTTATGCAATTGTCGTAGTGAAGCAACCACGCAGCTGCAAATTTACGACACGGACGTTTTAAGCTCCTGGCTGTGAGAAAGCGCTTGATGAAAATTATTTTCAAGGTTCAATTTTTAATCCGAAACGGTCTCTACCATCCTGGCACGCCATCTCAGAGCACAGTCACTGCAGCATACTTTACCTAACTATAACCACTGAAATGACGAATTACATAAAATATTATTCATTGCTCTTGATTATGAGGCTGCAGGGTTATAATCAGGGGATCCGGCTAGCTTCAGTAGTTTAGTCCGGATGACTGTTCGTACTCGTTTCTCCAACGGTTGCCAGGAAGGAATCTAATGTGGCTCCTTTGTCATGGCAATCCTGTTGGCCTTATGTCTCGCTTATGTGGACTGCAGCTGAAATTCACCACCACGCACTAGACTGGCAACAAAAACACCAATGCAAAAATACAAACAATGCTACGTACCTTATCGGCCTTCCATAAATTAGCTTTGAAATTTACCACCTTAATGGTGCAGCTGATTTTGGGAGAGCTTTTACCTTGGAAGTTTCTTTTGAAATGAGCCAGGTCGCTCGCTTAATGCTCCTTACTTCATTTAGCATTTGAGTGGATAGGGCATCATGGGATCAATACGAATGCGGGAAGCCATGATGGCTTTCCTGCTTCCTTGCCTAGTTCTGGGAGTGCGAGCTATCGAGGTCGCAAAGCTTAGGCAATGCATGGACAGCTTTAAGGACAGCACAAACCTGTAAGTCATCCGCATATAATTTCTCCCTATCTCTGTGTAGTGTCTGCCTTATTCCGGCAAACCTGCGCGTTGCGTCTTGAGTGACGCGTTTAACCAATCGGATGAAAATGTTTTGCAAAAGGCATATGCTCCTTCCATCAGCTTCTTTCTTCTCTAAAACCCTTACTTGTGCTGAGTTTTGGCAGGAACTTGGTCTGTGAGAGCTCCGACAGCGCGACATCGCTGGAGCACTTGGTTCGCGATTACATGGCCACTTGCCTTGAAGAAGACCTCCGTGTAGGTGTCTCCGCATGCCGCAGTCATGTAATAGATGCACTTCATATGTAACGTACCTCCCACCAAGACCCATAGTCATTTACCTGACATGGCAACGGCGTGCGGCAGCTCCCTATTTGGCGCTTCAACCGCATCGTCCCCTTGTTCGCAAATAGTTTTAGCGACCAGACTTTTCCTACTTCCAAAGTTCCTCCTGGCCATGCGCGCCTGCATCCCCATGCATGGCCCCTTCAGCTTCTTCTTAATCCCTGGCCCTTCAGCTTCCGAGACGAACTCCGCAGCGGAGAAACTATTTGTTGCACTCTAGCTGCGGATGCGATGGTGCATGGCGGCAATCACCAAATTGCCCTCCCCACCCTACCCCTACCCCTACCCCTACCCCCATCCCCACACCGCATACGCCGTTTCCAACCGAACAATCCTGGAATCCCTACATCCTTTGCAATCATTACCTCCTATAGAAATTTCCCGACTGCGATCAAGCCCTTGCCATGAACCTACGGGGAATGATTATATGGACCCCTAATTGTCTTTTTCGTATAACCAGAGCTCGTTATTACAAAGAAAACCACATGGGGAGGTGACGCTGGCTTCAGGTCGTGTTAAAATTAAATCGTATTTATTATCCTGGCACACCCTCGTGCACTTTAAAACTCCATTATTTACACACCAAGCTTTGTTTCCCTCATGAACCTCCGATGCCGCAGGCTATCCGTCTCACCGTCCCAAACACCTCCCTCGTTCCCGTCCTCGAGCGACATGCCGCGACGTTCCGAAATTTGTACAACGTCTCTGTAAGTGTGTGCCGTTGCACCCTGATAGGAAGGATACGCACGCCTGTGCATGCGCGCACACGTAATATGCTCTTTTGCTCTTCACCGCGCAAAACAACAAAGAGGCTGTGCTTATGAATGTGTGAATGATTATATGTAATGTGTGTGTATGAAATTGGATGGAACATATTCCAGCCACAGCAGTAGCCTGGAAAGGTGTGTGTGTGGTTGTTACAGTGGTGGTTACAGGGAAGGTGTAGTAGCTGGCCTCTGGAAAGGCCTCCCGAGATGCTGGTGAAGCACTTCGTGCGTAATTATAGTTGTCATGTATGCCGTACTGTGTACCGCCAGGTACCAGCTACTACAGATGGGCTTTTCTAGGAACCTTCCAAGGGCCATTAGCGAACCTTAATCGAAAGTTGTGTTAAGAAGGCGGCATTCATTATTCATATAATTCCAGACGTTTTTGCGTGTTCTAGACATAACATAATTTTTCCTCGTGTTGCACATCTTGAGGGCCTCATTTTCCTAGATCCCTCATGCCATGGGCCCTGTGATGGCTCTGCCTGCTCTGCCGCTCCATAAATTTGCGGAATATTTGATTGTGATCCCAGGTTCAGTTCAACGTGCTGGGAGTGGACAAGATCGCTGCAGAAGTCCGCGGGGAGGCATGGCAGCAGCTGCAGGTATGCAGACACGCATTTGGGGGTGAGACGGAGGGTGGCGGGCGTGTGAGGAGATCGGTGTGGCGCCTGAAAAGCTTCCCCCCTCATGCCTCCTGTTGTACATGCTGAATGCCAGCTTTCTAAAACCCAATTATGCGAGTGCTTTTAAGTAGGACGACGTCTTCCTTTGCAGCTACCTGCACCTGAAAAGTATTAAATTTTCTAAAGATTAAAAAATTTAACGAGGAAGGAGTATTAGGTTTCGACCTTTCATGGCTTTATTTCTTCACCACGGAAATAGGACAGATTTTTCATTTTTGCCAATCTGACACAATCTGCACACTCGTTCAGGGGTTCAGCGATGGCTGGATCGTGGACCCGTCAGTTACAGGTGCGTGACAGTTTTTTGAATGTGCGTGACACTAACCGGGGAACCCGGGGAAGCCTAGGGGGGCGTGGTCCGAAACCACGGGAAGTATAAACATGCCTGTTACGGCAAATGCCGGTATCTGATCTGAACTGAGTGGGAGCATCTTTAGTAGTAGTAGTAGGGGACCGCGACTGGGGTGGCTAGCTCACACCGCGGGGCTGAATTGCCTATACAGGCCACTGCACCAGGTGCTCATGCGTTTCAGATCATTAGGGTGTTGGGAACTGCATGTTAACTAACAGGCCCCTAATGGCCGCGAGCGGCTTGGTGACTGCGGAGTGGTCGAGGACCGAGCTGTGTATCTTTTGTAAATGTCCACCGGCCTAGGGGGGCCATCGAGTCATGAATAAGGGAGGGGTCATTGGCTTCCGAGGGAGGGCGTCAAATGCGTACTATTACGGCGGATGCCCTCCCTAGAGCTGTGCGTCCACATTTCTCTCGGAGGTCTGGGAGACCGAGCAGAGAGGATGTCCGCGTCCCCACGCGCCTCCAAAATAATGGCTATTGACCGTCCATGACCCCCCTCTGGCTTTTACGTAGACGGCTCCCCCATTATTACTGTTGATCCTGCAACTTTTGTAACTTGCAATTTCCGATTAACTAAATCGTTATGCCTCCAGGAGATCTCGCGGCCGCAAACGCGCTGGCAAATTTGACGGCCTACGTTTTCACGGATCAGGACCTGGACTGGTCTGACGTGGCAAACTTTTTCCGTACGATCTCTGCTTACTTCAACAAGCGCATCATTGGCGTGCCGCTGGACGGCGACCTGCTGCTGACGTACTACAGGTACGGCACACGCACCGTTGCATGTGGGGATCAACAAGTACGGGAGTGCAGCTCCCTTCCTTCCTTAGAGGTCTTGGATAAAGCTATTCCGGGGACGTCTAGGCGCGGAGGGGGAAAACGAAGGGGAGACAGGAAAGGAGGACGGACGGGGGTGCTGTGTGTGAGTCTCTGCCCTTTGCTCTACCCTGGCGGCTCTTCGGCGTGCCCTAAATCTCTTTAATTCTCGTCCTTTTCCCTTCCTACGAAACGACAGATGCTGTTTGGTGCAAGCGCATGTACACATGCACACATATGCAAAAGCGAAAAAAAATTCAAAATTAAAAAAAACAGTTTACAGCTGGTGCTTCGTACATGACAAACTCCTTTTTTTTATACCTTTTTCCTCTCACGCCTTTTTTGATCTTGGACATTGCCCAGGCGTGACCTGTTCACCAGGTATAATCTGTCGGTTCCGATGACCTGGGACGATTTCACCGACCTGGCAGAGTCTATGAATGGCACAGACACGGACGGCGATGGTGTGGGAGACCTTTGGGGCGTGTGTTTTGATAACTCGCCGCTTACGTGCAAATCCTCCTGGATCCTGACTGCCATACTGGCTCCCTACGTTCAATACCTGGGCACGCAACAGGTGCGCCTGCACGCTTATTTATGAGACTGTGAGCGTGTATTAAATTATAGGTATAGCGTGTATATGCGCAATGGGTATTTAAACAGTGCCGATTTACTACCTTGACAGCTAGAAAGGAAAATGTCTGCTCCGTTGTGTTGTTGTTGTTGTTGTTGAAATCTATGTCGTGCTTTGCCCTGTTCCTTCACTCCTCGCCCTTCAGGGCGCCTACATTGACCCGGCAAGCATGCGGCCGCTCATCAACAACGCAGCGATGGCCCGCGCCGTACAACTGTACCGCAGACTTTTCGCGTGAGTGATTACCGTACTTCACGGCGATTTGATGCCTAGTCCGTGGTCCCCGACCCTTCCATCCGCCAACCACTTGGGGTTTCCCCCGTCCATGAGCATGAAAACACGAACGTGAACGGACACATGAACGTACGCAACATGACCCCCTCACTCTCCCTTGGTCTCTACCTCCCTCCCTCCTGCCCTCCTGCCCTCCTGCCCTCGTGCCCTATCCCAGCGTTCAGCCTAGGCCGACGGGCTGTGCTGCCACAAATCCATTTTTCGACAAGGGCAACTGTCTAATGACCGTAAACTTTGGTGAGGTGGGCTCCGCGGGGCACTGCGTTAAGCTGCATGGAGATACCAATGTCGAATATCTTCGATATGCTAGGGTTTTAGGGCTTGGGAAAAATCAAAACTGGTCCGTAGTGCTCGTGTATCGGAGGGGAGCATCTTGGCCTACGCAAACATCGGGGCGGATAACGAGGCACATGTGATATTGTGGAACGGGGAACGAGTTTGCAAGCTTGCCATTGAAAGGATTCATCTTGAAGGCGAAGGTCCGCCGCCGCCGCCGCCCCACCACCACTACCAAGTGCTTGGCACACATTTCGCTCACCACGCGCTCTGACATTTGGAACGAAATAGGTGATGTTCCCTTTCCCATGGACGGATTTGAAACTGCGACTGTGGTACAACCGCGACCCGTGGGTCTGCCACAGGTGACCAGTTCA